AGTTGTATTAAAGCAGAAATAACATAATCGAAACCATTAAAACGTCAACATGAGAAGAAATTTGTTATTAAGTTCCGTTTTATTTAACTTGAAATCATGAATCTGATTCCTGGGTCGAAGTTGGGCCATAATATAATTGTGACAGAATATAAGTTCCCCCATAATATTTGTTCCAAAGAACTTTTAGCATATAACATAAGTGCAATTGGGAACTTTCCTTATATAATATTTTATCCAATGCTATAAGAAAATTTCCTTCACAAAGGATAAAATATTACGTAAGGAAAGTTCCCAATGGAACTTTTGTTATATATGCTTGTCACGGAATAGAAGTTCCTTCATAATATAAGTTCCAAATGGAAACAATATTCTGGAATATTATTTCCACTGGAATAAATATTACAGTAAATGTTCCTAACGGAATTAATGGTATAGAATATTTGTTCCAACAGGAACAGATATTATGACATTGTTTATAACAAAGTTTCCAGTGGAACTTCTGTTAGGCGGAACAAATATACGTTGACATGCTAAAAGTTCTTTGGAATAAATATTATGGACCATGTTTTATATAATAAAAGTTCCAAGAATATTTGTTATATTATAAAAGTTCCAGGAAAAATTTGTTTTATTATAAAAAGTTCCAGGAATATTTGTTATATTATAAAAGTTCTAGGAATATTTGTTATATTATAAAGGTTCCAGGCATATTGGAATATTGGCTATATTATAAATGTTCCAGGAATAATAAGTTATCATGGTTATTAGATGATTAAAGTTCTAGAAATATTTATTATATGATCACAGTGCAGCATGCAGTAATAAAATATTAAAAATATGTGCAGGTAAATGTCTTGTGAGGTGAACATTAATTAAGATGTAAGCAGGTGTAAAAAATCAAATGACACTCTTTCTTTAAAGGAACAAATATTATGAAACCATATGACGTTTTAGTTCCAGGAAAATATCTTATGAAGGTGGAAATAATATTATGAAATGTTTGTTCCCAAGAACTTTTATTATCCATAGTTTTGTTCCAGGGGGAACAAGTATTATGCGGAACAAATATATGTTCACATATTGACAGTATATTATTAGTATAATATAGTCCCAGGTCGAAGTCATACAAATGATTAATTTCAGTTTAAAAATGTGTATGTATAGGATATAAAAGTATGTTGAAATTCATAATTTCTCATGTGGCATCTTATCCAATGAGCCGGGATAAAAATTCAAAAATGTTTAAATTAATATGCTTTTGAAATAAGTCATAATCATCAGCTCTTTGAATTGCATGTCTGTAAAAAAAAAATCATTTTTTACTGTCAAAATTGGCTTTCTCTTAGCCAGAAATTAGCAATTTTTTTATTTTGCCGGCGCCGGCAAAAGAGTCACTGCCAAAAATTTAATATCAAACTAATGCTGAGGCAGATATCAGCGGCATGATCTAACATCTATCATGTCAGTAAAATGAATGTCACTTGTGCCATCAAATTTTCTGTCCGGTTGGTACTCAAGGTACCGGTAGTCATCATCGGGAATATATTATTCATTCCTCTCATTTATTTGCTTTCCTGAAAAGTTTCAGGCAATGACTGTTGGAAGAAAGTCTGCCTAGAAAGCGACTGTTTTATTAATAGTTGTGTAAACATCTCTTGTGAAAAAACTGTAAAACAAATTAAGGAGTAGAATGATAATGATTACAAGTTCAGTTTTAATAACCATATTAAGATATATGTAAAAAGGCTGTACAACAGTTTAAAATTTAAATCATATGGGTACTAAGTTGAGTAAAATAAATAGACTCACTATTTTTCACATATATAGTGTATAATTTTATTTTTTGTCCAGTGATTTATTCAAAATCAAATACTAAGAAAATAGAAATAATACCGGGGAGCATTCAGATTTGTATAGTGTAACATCATAATCATGGGGTTTCAAATTGATAAGTCATTTTGACTTTATTTATCCACCATCTGAAATCCATATCTAAATGGGTACGTCGACATGTATACAATGACTTATTTAAATCGAAGCTATCAGATTTATCAAGGAAGACTAAAACAACAGAGAGAAAGGATCAATAGCATGGATGAGTAAGGAATTAAAACTTGAGCCAACGGAAGAACGATCACTCAGTCTTTGGCTGATCCTGTAATACAAGGTGCCGGGTTGTAGTGTTGGTGCTCTACCATCAACAACTTCTATTTCATCCAACAAAACAAGCTACAAGACTGTGTGACCAAAAAGATGAGATCACAGGGCCTTAAATTATTTGGAGGCATGTAGGCAGATTTCTCCTATTGTAGGAGAAAAAAGTATAAATTAATAGCGAGAAAAAAAACCAACATAATATATGTTATTTGATAGTTATTGTCTTCATATCTGACAGATGTCCCGACATCGTAGAACATCATTCGTACCCATTATCTCTCAAACATGTCAAAGTTCGTACAAACAATAAAAAAGCAAGACAAGACCTACAACTGAATAGGTCGAACATAGCCTAAATTGTCAGACGACACCTTATAAGAGGTATTGACCTTATCTAGCGATTTTTACGCTTTTTAACGTTTTGGGGATGATACGATATATAGAAATTGATTACAAAAAATTATCAGCAAGGCATGATCTACAAGTAGGCAAACAAGGCGGAAATAGTCATTTCACCTCTTCCAGGATATACTGACCTTGAATGACAAATTTTACAAATGTTTTGGGCAAAAACGATACGATATGATACGATACGATACGATACGAGAGAGACTTTAGTCATAAAATTAATTACTAGTCTACAATTGTTGAGAGTGGTCATTGATGAAGATGAACATCTATGCAGGTGAATGACACAGTATACAAATAAGGAGATGTGATATGATTGCCAATGAGACAAATATCCACCAAAGTTTAAATGAAGTGGATGTAAGCAATTATAGGCAACTATACGACTTTCAACAATGAGAAAAACACATACAGTATTAAAAGTCAGCTATAAAAGGCCCGACATGAAAAATTTGAAACAATTCAATAGAGAAAACCAACGGCCTAATTTATAACAAAACAATTAATTTACGAAAAACAAATTATGAAAGACATGAACCAACAAAAGCCACCAACTGAACTACAGGTTCTTTAGAGTCTCTAAAGAAAACAAAAAGTTAGTTAAATAAATGTATAAATATGTTAAAATGTCTTTCAAATGAAAATAACACTTTATACATTTTGTGCGTCCGAAATGCTTTCCTAGATTTACCTTCACCAATAACCTGAAAGCTAAACATTTGAATGGGAGGGGTGTATAAATACGTAGAAACGTTTGGAGCTACATGACAAAAAGTTTTTAAAAAGTAAAATCTAACAAAGAGTATAACAGAAAATATTATAAATCACCAATTCTGTATTAATAGTTAACCTAGTTTAAAATTTAGACAATGTATGAAGTCATACAGATGAAAAATCTACTTTCTATTAATTTTTCTAATCGGCAAAGTGACACTTATGGCCTGTGGAAAAAGTAATGCTTGTCAATATTTATACAATTCCAAGTGAAAATATTATCGTTCTCTAAGGCAGTTTAAAAATTTTCTGAAAATGTAAATATGTCACGGGCATTTTAATTTTAAACGCCCCTTCAGTCTTCAGCTCTAAAGAACACATGATGCTGTTCATTAACGAATTTGACGGTCATCTAGAATACAAGACATCCTTGCATTTAACTTTTGTGTTAGGTGATTTTTAATTAAAAAAAAATCTTCGTCGTTTAACCTTACCATAACTAACACAATTTATTTTTTATTTAAAAAAATCTTATGAGATACGTAAATGAAACTCAAAATTCATATTCCTAACAGAAATATATAATCGAATAATGATATCAAATGAGAAAATATAGTTTCTGTCAAAATATATATTGGTTTAAAATTTGTATTACTGAGCACACGCAGGAACATATATATTGACAGGAACATAGTTAGATATACTGTTCCCAGGCACACGGTAAAAATCCGAAGGGTTTGGTAAAAAACCTATAGCAGGCTGATAACAGATGATAATTAGTTAGAGTCACCTGCTTAGTCATTTTATTATTGTGGTGTTATCAAGAAATTATGTTATCATAAGTGCAATTTGTACTTAAATGTTAAAAAATCACTTGAGAGACTTAGTCGGGATACATAGTCAAATAGTACAGACCGACCGGGTCGGAACGATACGACACTATTATTCATTTTTTTTTTAATAGGCTGAGTCAAAACGTGTTGTATCAGTTAGCCTTGGATGTTAATTTCCCCTCTTAAACACTTTGATTGAGTCGAATAGAACATAGACGCATTGATACTTTCATAACATGACACCCAACACGTACATAAGTCAACCGTGCCAATAGTACACGTAGTACTTTGATTGGCGATGCAATGGTAAATGTATGGTGTACAATGTGTACCAACACTGACAGCTTATGCATACATCATAAAAGTATCGAAAATGTTGTTTAGTCACATATTAATTTAATTGATTGTATTATTTGTATATATTTTTACCTTAACAAGCAAGTCTTCCCTTATTCAGCCAGTTTCTATCGCCTAAATTTAATGAATATTGGTCATGTTGTAGCAGTACTCATCAATATATTTTTTTCACAAAATCTGATAAAAATTTCATCAGTTGTGATAAACATACTGCAAAAAGATTTAATTAATATGTTTTTATTTTTTTTTCGGCCAAAATATCAAAAAATTATTGTTTGATTATATGGAGCGCAGGAACGTCGTAGGTGTACGTTTTTGTTCATCATAGTTGTATGTTGGCGCGGATGAATATCTAGAAGAAACGGAAATACAGTATAAGTTTAATTAGGGAAAAAATAAAACTTATAATTGCAATAAATACCACCCATTTATAATAATTAATAGTACATTTCAATTAAAAACCATCAGTTATCGTTATTTATATGTACAAACTTTTTTCATCGATTGCCCTAAGTTTTGGTGGAATAGACAATCTAACTCCATTGTTACAGGACTGAAACACGGGAAAACACGGAAAAGTTGATTCTTTGGAATTAATTGAAATCGTGAACATTAAAATGGTTATGGCTGATCACAAAAACGCGGCAGATATAAGAAATGGAAGGCGATCAAGAGGTGCTAGTCCAAACGAATTTTCAGACGACAGTAGCGGAGAAGATTCGGATCACGGTAAGTTTGACCAGCATTCATTCCGGCGTTTAAAATAAAAGACGTTAAAAAAAAAAAAAAATAAAGAATGTAAAAAAAGAAATTAGAATACAGAAAAAACAAAAAAACGGTAGGGAACTACTATTTAACTCTGAAGTTGTGGGAGGGGTAATGTTTTTTTTTCCAAAAAAAAAAATTCTCTGATTCCAACTTCGAAGAAAACAATATTTTTAACAGGGAGAATGATCTTCCAACTGGTGCTTTTTCCTAGACAAATTAAACGTCTCTCAGCAAATAACTTCACGCAACTATGTTCATGACTTGTTTTCCCTGAACGACTCAGATCAATTGTGGTAGTTCATAAAATCTAAATAGACCTTGTCGCTATTTGGGAATCTGCGACATTTGACCTGAGAGGGGCCTCGGTGGCGGAGTGGTCTAAGTAGTTACTACTGTAATCACTATCCAGTCAACACTGAGGTTGTGAGTTCGAACCCTGCTCATGCGGGTGCACTCGACTCCAATCTTAATTGACTAGGATTGTCAGTTTTCCTATCGATTAGGTCGGTGTTTTTCTCAGGGCACTCCGGTTTCCTCCACCAATAAAAACTGGCAGCCACAAGTCGAAGGGAACTTTAGGTTTGCACTCCGTCCGTATGTCTGTCTGTCTGTCCGTCTGTCTGTCTGTCTGTCCATCTGTCAGTTCGGCAAATCAGTTTTCCAGACTTTTTTTCTTGGTGCTTGAAGATATTGATTTGATATTTTGTTTATTGATTTATCATGACAAGTTACAGGTCAAGTTCAATTTTCACGATTTTAGCTTTTCTCTTTGTTCAGTTAAAGCCCTTTCCCTAGAATTAAATTTTTTATGAAATACTTATTAAATAGTAGATTTCTGTTCAAAGGGAAATAACTCATTTTTTAAAAGACAAAATGACATTTTGGATTTTTTTCCTTTTCTTTGGTAAATTGTTTGAAGAATTTAGTGGTAGGTTTGTTTGTCATTCTTGAAGATATTGATTTTGTTAATTAGTATATAGTTTTATCATGACAAGTTACTGATCAAGTTGGAATTTTGTTCCAGTCTGATAATTTTGTACAGAGTTATGGTCTTTGGACATAGAAAATTCACTTAAATAATCGGTTTTCAACAGTTTTTTTCGTCATGCTTGAAGATTTTGACTTGATATTTTTATGTAGTTTACACCATGACAAGTTATAGATCAAGTTAGAATTTTGTTCCATTACAATGAATTTGTAACCGGTAGGGGACTATGTATTGCCATGCAATATTCATAGAATGCTTGTTTTAATATGTTTAAAAATTTCGTGAGATATCTACTTTTTTTCATATATATTTAAAAATTTCGTGAGCTATCTGCTTTGAAATCGACCTTTTCATTATGCAAATTTCAGTTATATGACATATGATTAATTATGTGTGTCATGATGAAAATTTCAGCCAAATTTTTGTGGCTTAAATTTTTCTGTAAAATGTTACATCTATACTACTAAAATGACTAGGTCCATTTTGTGAGCCGGCATGGCGTAAAAACGACGAATCAAATAATTCAACTTTATATATAACTAATATAGGACAATGGTGTTGATTAAAAATTACACCATTCCAGGCCCTTTTGTTTTCTGCATTATCAATATTACCAATAATTAACAATTTGGGGATCCAATACGATACCAATTCCAATAGTATATGTCACCTGTTACCTAATCTGTACGTTCCGCCTCTTCAGCTGGCGCACCACCAAATGGTGTATTTGGGATTAGCTATAATACACGAGTCATAATCACACCTGAACTTCGACATTATACAGGGATTGACACTACTTAATTCAATCATTGTCACAAGTTTCCGGTTGTAGTAAGAAAACCAGGACGGGTTTAAACAAAGATTTTGAAAGCAGAGAAATTGTGCACCAGCAAGACTTTATCAGATGACAATACCAATACTAAAAATCCAGACTAAAAATAAGGCGTAGGTACTCATTGTACTTTAATTCAGTCGCGGACCCGCTGTGTTGCAGGTGTGTTCTAGTACATATATATTTTTATTTCAAAGATCAGTAAATTCATGAACTACATGAAATGAATGCCTTTTTAAAACTATATATGAAATGAAAGCAAGTGATCATTACACTTTTAGAAATCAGTGTTTCTGAGTTTCTTGCAAAAAGTGAAAGTCACTTCTTTTCCTTTCATATATCAGAGTGATTTTTCTCTGTAGAAATTTTGTAATTGAAATGGTCTTTTTCATGTGATCATGGTTATAGCTAACTCAAAATTCATGAATTATTGTCAGATAGTACTTGTAAGTCCACATTATCGTGACGTTTTTTTTTAGTATAAACGATATCTTACTTTAATAGGCCAAAAATAAAATTTAAATTGTTTCATGTTGCCTACCTACATGTACCCACCTAAAAAAGCAGCCTAGACATGAAAAATTTTATGAGACAAATCGTTTCAATTTTTTTTTTACAGATTTTTTCCTGCTTTTAACGTCGTTTTCTTGTCTAAAACTTGTAACTTATGTTGTTTGACAAAAAAAAACCAAAATCCTTACCTACCTACCCAACACTACAAGGCAGGGGTAGGCAACATCAAACAAAGAATTTTTTAAGGATGGAAATATTGATCCTTCATGGCAGCGAGTTGTAATTTTTTTTGTCTTTTTACATGTTTTAAGGAATTTTTGTTTTAGATGGAAGATCCTTGGTATTTAGTTTTTGTGAAATTTACATACACTTTTGTCATTTTGTGTAGTTTCTGTAGATGTTGTTGTTACTGGATGGTAATTAATAACTTTATACGATACTTTTGGAAATAAAAAAAAGAAGTCTCAAAACAATTAGGATTTATTAGAGAGGTGGAAGATGCCAAAGGGATATTCAAACTCACTACATGAAGTGGAATGCAATCTTACAATACCACGGCCAAAAACAAAAAACAAAGAAAAGACAAACAACAGTTCATAAAACACAACAAAGAAAACTAAAGACTAAGCAACATGAACCCCACCAAAAAAACAGGTGTGATCTCAGGTGCTCTGGAAGGATAAGCAGATCTTGATATATTGTAGAGGCATTTGTCTATTGATTGAAGACTTAAAGTACAAATGAATGTTGACCTCTAGATTTATGATCTTACATGGTTCTTAGTCTTTACCTACAAGGATAAGTATGGAAGCAAGACTTATGCATGCTTTTTCTATACCTGAGGTCTTCAGCAATTGATAGAGTTTTTGATAAGGTTGCACAGAAGAGACTTATCTCTGTTAAAACTTTCTTAAATTTTAGGGTTGCAGTGATTCCCAAGGCTTTGAGAAATTAACTGAACATTTGGTCCAGTAAAACATTCTCTTTAACTTGACCTAACACTTTATTACCATGTTTACAGGACATTTACACATATGATTTGGACAAAATTAAAAAAAATTACTGGTCATATTAACTGGACCAAACCAATTTTTACTGGACTTAGCCAAATGTCCGGCGACCTTGGGAATGACTGGAGTTGCTGTTTATCAAGTTTTAAATGTTTGCAGACTCATTGTCATATCGCGCTTATCTTCATTCCTCCTAAATCTAGGAATCGTTGACTTTATAACATTAAGGAATGACTGTAATATTTTTCTGTCTACCAAGAAATAACATCTAAACTGAATAACCCGTGTAGCCTGTTATTTAAAAGTGTGCACCACATTTTTAACCGGATTTTCAAAGGAAAAATCGGTTATTGATTAAGGGATGTACGGCGGGCGGGCAATGTCTGTTCATTAACATGAAAACGCTTTGACGAAATTTTTTCAAATTTAGATATGTTGTTTCCTGTGACTAAATGATGGTCAAGTTCAATTTTCATGATTTTATCTTTTCTCGTTGTTGAGTTGTACATGTACCCCTTCAGTAGCCAAAAGTAGTACTTATTCAGTCAGAGCTCGGACATAAACAAGTTGTTTTTTGTTTTTGACTTACAGAAGTCAAAAAATGTATTTATTATAAAAATGTGTTTTCATTTTCAGACTTATTTAAGTCAGAAAATGACAGACTTGTTTAGGTCTATTTATGTTTATGAAAAGACTTAATTTTAATTGGTGGCCAAAGTGCACCACCTATGACATCATAAACCTGTCTGAGAGTTCACAAGGACCTGAGCTATCTATATTTAATTATCTAATTGAACATTATTACTTATCATTAGATTATTTTCCTCATTTTGTGTGGTTATAGATGGTTGCATTGTAAAGTAAATAAATATTATCTCCGTTTTTTTAGACTCTCATGCATATTTTTCTTTAGAAGATAAAGCATTGTCTTTCAATGTTGTCATAATTTCATGTAGATGTATGACCTCTTTATAAATATGCTTGGGTCTTGAAGTTGACCAATTTCTGGTCAAATATTTCTCGCTTAACACTAATTGACTTATTGAAGTCATAATTTGTCTTAAATTAAAGGGAGACAAATCTTGAAACCTACAAATTAAGACCTCTATGAGTCAAAAGCAGATTTAGACTTGTGTCTGAGCTCTGACTGTTATTATGTGATTGAGTTATTTCCCTTTGAACAGAAATGGTAATTATATACATCAAGTTTGATTACACTAAGTGTTTTTATACGACCGCAAAAAATTAAAAATTTTTTGGTCGTATATTGGTATGACGTTGGCGTCGTCGTCGTCGTCTGGCGTCGCCCGGCGTCGTCCGAAGACACATTGGTTTTCGCACTCTAACTTTAGTTTAAGTGAATGGATCTCCATGAAATTTTACCATAAGGTTCAATACCATGAACGGAAGGCTGGGATTGATTTTGGGGGTTATGGTACCAACAGTTAAGGAATTAGGGGCCAAAAAGGGGCCAAAAATAAGCATTTTGTAACTTTCAGACAATAACTTGTGTGTAAGTGTATGGATCTCTCTGACATTGTACCACAAGGTTCCATATCACAAAGGGAAGGCTGTAATTGATTTTGGGGGTAATTGCCTCAAAATTTTAGGAATAAGGGGCCAAAAAAGGGGCAAAAAACAAGCATTTTTCTAGTTTCATGACAATAACTTGTGTGTAAGTGTTTGGATATTTCTGAAATTGTACTACAAGGTTTCATATCACAAAGGGAAAGCTGGAATTGAGTTCGGGGGTAATTGCCTGAAACGTTTAGGAATTGGGGGCCAAAAAGGGGCCAAAAATAAGCATTTTTCTAGTTTCAAGACAATAACTTGTGTTCAAGTGTATGGATCTCTCTGAAATTGTACTGCAAGGTACCATACCACAAAGGGAAGGCTGGGATTGAGTTTGGGGGTGATGAATCATAAGGGGGTTCAAAAAATTTGGGGGGGGGATTTTTTTTTCTTTTTTTTTTTCTTTTTTTCCTTTTTTTTTTTCTTTTAAAATTTTCCATTTTAAGTTGGTTATTTCTGATTTATATTTAAAAGCAAATAATAATGATATTGTAGCAGATACACACCAAACAGGATGTGTAAATTTTTATATAATAAGTATTGTGCAATAGCAAGAAATTTTCAATTGCACAGTATTGCACAATAGCAAGAAATCTTCAATTGCACAGTATTGCGCAATAGCAAGAAATCTTCAATTGCACAGTATTGCGCAATAGCAAGAAATATCCAATAGCACAATATTGCGCAATAGCAAGAAATTGTCAATTGTACAGTATTGCGCAATAGCAAGAAATATTCAATTGCACAGTATTGTGCAAAAGAAGATACTTCTTATAAATTGCTTATTTCTTGATCAATTTCAATGGGGTTTTATTCTTGAATTCTTTGGGTTCTTTGATATGCTGAATCTTACCATGTATTTAGATTTTTTATTTTGTGGGCCTGCTATCAAATTGGTTCATATTGAGGTCAAAAGGGTCCAAAATTAAACTTTGTTTGATTTCATCAAAAATTGAATTATTGGGGTTCTTTGATATGCCGAATCTAACCGTGTATTTAGATTCTTAATTTTTGGTTCCGTTTTCAAATTGGTCTACATTAAGGTCCAAAGGGTCCAAAATTAAACTTAGTTTGATTTTAACAAAAATTGAATTCTTGGGGTTCTTTGATATGCTGAATCTAAACATGTATTTAGATTTTTGATTATGGGCCCAGTTTTCAAGTTGGTCCAAATCGGGGTCCAAAATTAAACTTTGTTTGATTTCAACAAAAATTGAATATATGGGGTTCTTTGATATGCTGAATCTAACCATGTATTTAGATTTTTGGGCCCCGTTATCAACTTTGTCCACATTGAGGTCAAAAGGGTCCAAAATTAAACTTTGTTTGATTTCATCAAAAATTGAATTCTTGGGGTTCTTTGATATGCTGAATCTAACCATGTATTTAGATTTTGGATATTGGACCATAATATGTGAATGTCCAATTTAAAAGTTTTAAGTTCTTAGACCACATTCATTCTGTGTCAGAAACCTATGCTGTGTCAAATATTTAATCACAATCCAAATTCAGAGCTGTATCAAGCTTGAATGTTGTGTCCATACTTGCCCCAACTGTTCAGGGTTCAACCTCTGCGGTCGTATCAAGCTGCGCCCTGCGGAGCATTTTATTAAATTATTTTCACCTGTTATCAGATAACAAAGCATGTGGTAAATATCAATCACAGAATTATAATTGGAGTCACAGATTTATTTGAAAATACTCTGTTTCCTAAGTGTTGATGATTATAAGCTCCGTAGGACTGTATAATTATAGTTAGGAATTTTCTGTTCAGTATTAGACATTTTGAAGATAATTACAGATAAGTTTTATTGATTTTTAAAAGACATTGTATTAATGATAAATGACATTTTGGATTCTTTTTTTCTTTTCTTTGGTAAATTGTTAATTTGTTTGAAGAATTTTGTGGTAGGTTTGTTTGTTATTCTGTACAAACTAATTTTCTGAATGCTATATATATATATTTTTTGATGAAGCGAACTCCTTTCAAAACTAAGCTTATATTGTCTATTAATAAACATATATTTAGATTTCTGATTTTGGGCCCAGTTTTCAAGTTGGTCGATCGGGGTCCAAAATTAAACTGTGTTTGATTTCAACATAAATTGAATATACAGTTTATATAGGGTTCTTTGAAATGCTGAATCTAAACCTGTATTTATTTGCATTATTAATTAGATAATTCCACATTGAGGTCCAAAGGGTCCTAAATTAAACTTTTGTTTGATTTCATCAAAACTGAATTCTTGGGGTTCTTTGATATGCTGATTCTAACAGTGTACTTAGATTTTGGATATTGAACAGAATAAGGTAAATGTCTGATTTCAAATTTTTCAGTTCTTTGACTACATTCATTTTGTGTCACAAACCTATGATTTGTCAAATATTCAATCACAATCCAAATTCAGAGCTGTTTTAAGCTTAAATGTTGTGTCCATACTAATGCTCAACTGTTCAGGGTTCGACCTCTGCAGGTAAATCTGGTTTGCTGTCACTCTGACAGCCTCTTGTTTTATTTATATCATCAAAGATGTATAAATCTGTTGACCCAATGAATGATTGATATTTTAGTTCAGAAAAATTTAAAAGGACAATATATATATCAGATACTTAATTTGTGTACATAATTTCATTTCCATGTGAATTAGTTCATATGCTGAGTTTAATTCCTCTTTATGGCCAGATTACAGAGCACATGTATAGTTTAACAATGTTTGATCTTCTTGGCATCTCCTGTCATTCCAAAAGATCGTCTTTGTACTACTTTTGTGCATTCACTTTTTGTACCCCATCACTTTACAAGTACATACAAAGTATATGTAATAGCCGGAAGGTTAAATGACTGACAAAAATTGTAGTTAATATGGGCATTATCTGTAACACAATTTTGGTCCGAATATTGGCTCTACTCCAAATGAATATGATTTTATAATCTTGCAGAATTCTCCAAAATATCACATTTTTCCCTAATTTCATGGGCACAGGCCCCAACAGTAAAATTACAAATTAACCCCTGTCAATAGAAAAGATTTTGTTTAGGGACAAGGGACCACAGGCATGACAGGACCCTCATCCACCAATTACTATGTAGCCTCATGGCTCAGTTGGTGGCCCGTTTGCGTCTTTCCATCAAACATTTAGTACATGTATAATTCTTATATGATTTGCATATCTACAAATACTTGAATCCGATTGGTCCATTAAAATTTTTTCCCTTGGTTTACACTTCGATAAACCATGTTGCCGAAACTACTTTCATATCCTTCACTGTGATCTATTCATGTGTGATACACATGCACAGGATCCAGGGGTTCTAAGCAATTTGATATTTTAAAAAAACCAAATACATAATTGTCATTTATTTTTTAATGCATAACAAAAAGAAGTAATGCATTAAAGCTTGGAAAATGTATGAAATTAAAATGTTGGTTTGGGATCTAGTATACCCAGGAAGTGTAGTTGATATCACCAGCTGTTAATTTCACCCATGACTGAGATGTGGCCTTGAGTTAAGGTCAGATGTCAGCTTTCAGATTTACTAACTGTCATGACTGTGAAGTGCTCTGTTTGATTTGGATACTAATGAACATGCATATTTTGTAAAGTTTGTGATGGAGAGGGACAGGGTCATATTTGAAATCATATATTCAAACCAGTCATAACAAGCATTTCTGAATGGAATTGACTTTTGAATGTTTAGTTTTTGACAACAGTATATAAATAAGATATTTGTTTCTTCATAGATAATGGAATGCGAGTAGGAGATGATTTCCAAGCTAAAGTTCCAATTTATAATCCAGGTAAGCACTTGAGGCCAAACTAAAATTATGTATGTTTAGCACGTGTTGGGTTTCATGCCGGGATTTGTTTTACTTTCAGGGACGGATATTTGGTGTTGAATGGCTCATCCTGAACCATATTTTGGTACACAGAGCTTTCATTGTCTTTCATGTGGACTAACACTTTTCCCATATATGCAGTCAGTTAGTTTAAAAGTTCAATTTGCATTTCTTTTCTTTTTCAAAATAAAAATCTTAAGAACTTGAAATTAAAATAGGTGGGGACTACCTTTAACAAGTATATTGATAACAATATGAAAATATATGATGGACAATTAAATGAATTATTTGATGAATACAAATAAACTGTTTATTTTCAGATATAAAACCTGAAGGTAGAAATGATGCCATTCTAGTATGGGCACCAGCTTGGGATCTTCCTGATGCTAAAGGTAATCTTTTTCTAAAGGTAATCTCTTTCTAAAGGTTTCTAAAGGTAATCTCTTTCTAAAGGTTTCTAAAGGTAATCTCTTTCTAAAGGTAATCTCTTTCTAAATGTAATCTCTTTCTAAAGGTAAGCTCTTTCTAAAGGTAATCTCTTTCTAAATGTAATCTCTTTCTAAAGGTAAGCTCTTTCTAAAGGTAATCTCTTTCTAAAGGTAATCTCTTTCTAAACATGCTAAAGGTAAGCTCTTTCTAAAGGTAATCTCTTTCTAAACATGCTAAAGGTAAGCTCTTTCTTAAGGTAAGCTCTTTCTAAAGGTAATCTCTTTCTAAAGGTAAGCTCTTTCTAATGGTAATCTTTTTCTAAAGGTAAGCTCTTTCTAAATGTAATCTCTTTCTAAAGGTAATCTCTCTCTAAAGGTAAGCTCTTTCCAAACGTTTGCTCTTTCTAAAGGTAATCTCTTTCTAAATCTTATCTATTTCTAAATGTAATCTCTTTTTAAAGTTAAGCTCTTTCTAAAGTTAAGCTCTTTCTAAAGGTAAGCTCTTTCTAAAGTTAAGCTCTTTCTTAAGGTAATCTGTTTCTTACAATCTCTAAGAGACTTCAAGAAACAGAGGGGAATTTATTATTAATTGTGGGTTTCCTTGGAACACCATTCCACACAAGAAAAAGTTGCTGATTGCAGCAATCAAACTTTGTGTATTGTTTAATGAATCACTTGCACATGTTGCACATCCAACATGAATCAAGTTAGAGTTTGTAATACAGTAAAAAAAAAACAGACAAAAAAAGAAATGAATGAAAGAGATATAAAGTTCCACATTTAAAGGATTCATATGAATGAATGGTCTTGTCAGTCAAAATTCCCAGTTGTTGGATAGTGCCTCTATTATTATGGTAAGATCATTACCTAGAATAAAAAGAAAATTTTATTATTTTCACCTCATGTTGATTCACTGTTTCAAACATTTAACTCTAATCTCTAAGTGGTGGACAAATGTGAATAACCAGATAAATTAGCCATTGTGGCAATAACTATGAGATAGATCAACCTTGGTGGTCTCAAGGTACCATGCTCATTTCTGTCTTATCCCCAGCAGCAACAAGGCAACTTTGATGCTTGTTTCACAAGCACTCAACATTTAGGGGTAAGATCAAAGATTAGGGACCAGAGTGGGTGAAAGCTGTTCTCCTGATTATGGTCAAAAGATTGTGCAATAATTTTTTAACATTCACCCATCGATCACACCAAGAAAGCTGAGTGAGGCAACATGTCTTCCTTCAGACTGGAACCTTGAGAGCTGTTCTCCTGATTATAGTTAAAAAGATTGCCTATCAGATGTTTAACTTTCACCCATCGATCACACTAAGATAGATTTTGTAGTTAAATACAAATGTATAAGGTTATTATTATCATGATTATGTTGTAATATAAAAATAAGGAGATGTGGTATGATTGCCAATGAGACAACTATCCACCAAAGTTCAAATGAATTTAAAGAAATAGAAAAAATGTAATACCGGTAATAAAAACTATTAGTAGACAGCTCTCACAGAAGCAAAAAACCCATAACTGTAAAATATAAGGGCATACACTACAAGAACGGTGTCATATTCTACAGCATCCACACAGCACGAGCAACAAACCCTGCAATCAATATAAAAATAAGGAGATGTGGTATGATTGCCAATGAGACAACTATCCACCAAAGTTCAGATGAATTTAAAGAAATAAAAAAATGTAATGATAAAAACTATTAGTAGACAGCTCTCACACAAGCAAAAAACCCATAACTGTAAAATATCATGGCATTTATCTAAATTTGAATTTCAAACATTAATTATAAGTGATGTTAATTATTTCAGTTGATGAATATGTGGTAATTGCTAAAGAGAAGCATGGATACAACACAGAGCAGGTAATTGGCTTGTACAACATAGTTTCCAAACTGAAACAAATATTGTTAATTCAGAAATTAATTCATTCACTTATTATTGTGAATCACTGATTATTGGTAAAAATGCGAGTGCAGAAATTTGTGAAGGAGAGGCCAGACTTAAAAATATTTCTGTTTGCCCAAACCCTACCCACCAGTCTCAGGTGTGGGTAGGTAGGTAGGGAAATTCTTTTTTTTTTTTACTTTTAGAGAAGAAATAGGGGAAAATATTATTTTCATTGAATACAAAATTCAAATTACAAAACACTTGAACAAAACACTGTTGACAGAACTTCTGTCAGAATAATATCATTTTAATCAAATTTTAATGCCGAATCAAATTCCTGAACAACTTGGATTGGTTCCTCAAAATCGGGCTCAAACGAGTGTCCTGATCGGTCAGAGACAGTCACACAAATTTCATCAGTTTTCCGTAGCCTGAAATCATCATCACACTATCAAACACCTCTTTCCATGTTTTTGCGTTTTCAAAACGATAGAATTTGTTGGAAACAACGGGTTTTGATTTTAATCCAACCTTTATTTGTACTAGACAGTAACATGTTGTTTTTCATCCGTATCAATTGGAGGCTTTAATACATAACACAAATTGTCCTGTGATAAAGCGCAGTCAGATCGGATCAGGTTATTCTATGCAACAAACTCAAGAGAGATTCGTTTACGACAAAACTCTGCAAAAAAAATAACATCGCGAATTTTGAATAAAAAAAGATTTTGACTCGGGTGCTTTTTTATGGGTCGGTCGGGTTAGGGCAAACCAACCTATTTCGTTTTTATGGCCGGAATCACTCCTGAAATTATGAATGGGAGTTATAATGCAAACCTGTTACTGTCGCATTTTTCACATTAATAAAAACATTGCAAGAAATTCTGAATTTACTGTAATCATTTATAGATAATAGGAAGGTAAATGTGCATGTTATTATTTTGGTGACATACAAGATTTCTATATTTTGAATGCAATCACAGTGAAAAAATAGAGGAAAAGCAAAGAAATTTAGTATTATAATTTAGTTTTAAATGAAAAATAGAATCCTGATCAATTTACCTACACATTGCTTAGGCCAAATAAAAAATGTGTGTTTACAGTAAAAATATGCAATAGAACTGATCAAAACAATGTAAATTTTTGTCATTTTGTTCACTGACATCTATAACAAAAACTTCCTTTAAAAAAATGTGTACATGGTGTATAACACTTGATTAGAATTGGTTTCAGTGATGCACAATGATATCTGACAGGCTTACAACCCCAAATATTTTCAAAAACCCTATTACAGTTCTTTAGCAAGAAACCCTGTATAACACACATATATTTGATATGTATCTATTTCCATTGGTAAAAACATAGAGAATTGTAGAGTTCAAAATGAGTAGCATTTTCTCATTTTAAAGGAAAAACTGTTTATATTTGCAGGCTTTGGGCATGTTGTTTTGGCATAAACATAACATTGATAAGGCATTGTCAGACCTACCAAACTTCACACCATTCCCAGATGAGTGGACTGTAGAAGATAAAGTTTTGTTTGAACAGGCATTCAGTTTCCATGGCAAAAGTTTTCACAGGATCAGGCAAATGGTAAGTTATTGTAATAATTGAAATAATTTGTCAAGTACTAACTCAAGGTAAATCTTATATGTTTTCAATTTTATGTAGATAGACTTTGGCTAAGGGTTACATAATACAATTCTTAAAAGTCACTGGTATGTTTTTGTCAAGCATTTTTCTGAATATAGTCTTAGCTTTTAAGTAACACAGGGGCCTTGGTGGCTGAGGTTGTTAGTTTGAACACTGTTCATGGCGGTGTGTTGTTCTGATCTAATTCTATCAACAGATTAAATTACAATGAAACTAAGTAAATTGACTTTAGATGTAGATAAGTATATGGTAAAATTATGAGAAAGAAGGGAAACAAATATTGAGGTTTAATATTACACATGTTGATGATGTACCGGAAGGTCAGTGATTATTAATAAAACTTTTGCAGCTGCCCGACAAATCAATAGCCAGTTTGGTTAAGTATTACTATTCATGGAAGAAAACAAGATCAAGAACAAGTCTGATGGATCGACAAGCCAGAAAACTAACAAAGAATGGTGACAGGTACTGGACTTTTTCATTTAGATAGATGTATTTTCACAGGGTTGGTACTCCTTAATTGGAGTACTTATTCATTGAAGCATTATGCATTTTTGTTTTAAGCATCACCAGTCTTTATAGTTACAACTGTACCAAATACCCAACAGCCTATGCATAGCGTCAGTTCTTCAAGATTTTCATTTTTAGATGAAATAAAATCTACATGAGAAACAACTCGAAAGATGTTTGTGTTTATGGTAAAAATTAAAGTAAAAAAGTTTATCATGAAGACCGCCAATGGGTCTTCAAAGCACCAGGAGGCAGGCTTCAGCTGGCCCCTGATAATGTACTAAGTCAGCGAAATGGACGCCACACAAAACTCCAAAACATACAAATGAACCAAAACTAGAAAAAAAAACAAAAAGAATAACAAAGGCTAGAGGTTCCCGACTTGGGACAGGCGAAAATGTGGAAGGATTTAACATGTTTGGTGAGATCTCAACCCTCCCCTTTACCTCTAGCCGGGTAAGAATAAACCAACACACAGTATCATGTTTAGTATTTGCATGATTTAACTGTTTGGAATAGGCCTTAGAATTAAACTAATTGTTTGCAAATGATGTGAAATCTTGGACTTGAATTTAAGTGGGGAATATAATCTTCCACTGATGTGAAAACATACAAAAATAAGGAGTTGTGGTATGATTGCCAATCATTATGAGACAACTATCCACCAAAGTTCAAAGGAAGTGGATGTAAGCAATTATAGGCAACAGTACAGCCTTCAAAAATAAGAAAAATCCATACCGTATAGTCGACTATAAAAGGTACTGACATGAAAAATATGAAACAATTCAATTGAGCAAACTCACGGCCTAATTTTTAACAAAACAATTTACAAAAAACAAATATGACAGACATGAACCAACAACAACCACTGATGGTCATTTTATTCTTATCTGAGTCTTACATATATATACATTTTATCCATATTTTTTTATTGTCATTATTCACTAAATTGTTTATGCAATCAAACGTTCATTTTAAAACCATATTATAATGTGTATTATAATTAAAAAATTCAATATTTGCAGTGAAGAAGATTCAGATATAGAAAGTAAGAAATCTGATGCTGATGATGCCAACAAAGAGAATGGGGTATGTAATACATGTAGTCATGGTATTTGAAAGAGAATAACATTGGACAGTTTAAATACAATTTATTACATACCATCAGTCCATATAATGTCATGTTTTAGTTTCCAATCCAGTAATTTTGAACACTTTCTAGGCATTAAACTCAAAGTTATCATTTAGAAATGTGATAATGCATTCAACACAATTTAAATAGAAGCAATACTGGTATATTCTTGTTTCAAAATTTCAATAGGGAACACATATTACATTATTGTAGTAATTCAACTATTTTTTTAAGACGTTTCGACTACTGACCTTCTTCAGAGTCTTTATTGAAACTGAAGAAGGCCAGTGGCCGGAACGTCTTAAAATATGGTTTAATAACTACAATAAAAAAAAAAGTAAAGTTAAAAAATAAGATGCTTTTGTTGCTATCTTTGAATCTTCAAAGAAATGTACATATATAATCTTGACTACAGTTTGATAGAATGGACACATATTCCTAGAGACAAATATATGTAAGATATGTGAGAATGAAAGTTTTTATCCCAAAATTGTAGCTTTAGAACGAGTTTTGATAAATATTTCTGTTAAGTGTACCTATTACTAATATTATTTAAAGAAATTTGATATCGCTTCTTGTTTTATGTTGAATCAGTAATGGCGACAAGACAGTCCTGGTCGTGCAGTCATAACTTCAGAGTATGATTATAGTGGTGTTTCAAGCAAATATTTTGTATTCTGAGTACTGAGAAAAGTTTTTCTATGACTGAAAGACCAAGTCTGTCTTTGACAATTGCATGAGTCCCCTACAAATTGTTCTATGCTGCATCAAATGTGCAAATGGTTCAGTGAAATGTCAGATGTGCAGATTTTTTGTTGGCAAGACCAGCAAAAACTGTTTTGTCAATTATAGGATAAATATTGACTTAAAAAAAAGTCCTTTTGAATCTGTTCCAACATGGCAATGATTGTTGCATACAACAGGTGTAAGGTTTAAATGCAACTTTTTCTTAAGAGAAAGTTAATTATTAACTAAACAAATTTTATAAGGATAATTATATATGTAAAATAAAAACAAAATTGAAAGTGTTATGAAACCATTTTAAAAGTATTAATTTTTTTTTTCAGAAGCAGGAAAAAGACACTTGCTCCAATTGTGGTATATCTACCTCAACATTAAACCCAACACCTAAAGGTTCTCTTTGTAGTTCATGTTTCCAGTATTGGAGGTAAGAACTATGGCAAAGATTTGAATGGTTCACTGGACATTTGGTCCATTGTCAATTATCATTTATCACTGGTCAATACAAAATTTCATTGGACAATCATTAATTATATCACTAAAAATTCCCAATTTTATCAGACTTACTGTTCGGAAAAGTATAATTAACTAGGCTGACGAGCGTGTTACTGGTTTTAACCAAAGGATCAGTGTTCTTCATTCAAACTATGCTAACTAAATAACATTTCAGGGAGACAACTCTTATTTATAAGTTATCAATTGATTTGATGGCATCACTACAAAAACAAAATTAAATTTTCAACGCAGAAGACATTAACATACTGTGCAGTTTTAGATGTGGCATATTTTTGGAGGAAATTTAGTGACTTTAAAAAGATTTAGGAATTTGTTCTGCTGGATCCTAAATTTATTTTTGAATGAGAAAAAAAGTCATATTAAAGCAAATTAATATGTTTTTAACCAAGTTTTTTGTACCATGAATATATGTATTCAGGAAATCTTTTTTGTTATTCATAGTAAAAATTGATAAATTTTGTATTCAGCAGACTAAAGTTAAGATTATCTATTTCTTTCTGTCTGTTAAACCCCCTTTTTTTTTAAAGAGTTTAATCAGTCTGTTTTTATTTTTTTACACAGAAGAACCGGTGTAATGAGAAGTGCTGGACCAAACAGACATGACCACGGCCAACACAGACATAACCCCATGAAACACAAGAGGAAACCTCCACGTGGAATGTTTATCATTGCAGAAGATCTGTCTCTTTTTACCTCAGGACCTCCAGCTCAAGCAGATGCTGTTCTCAAAAATGCAGAAGCTGATCTTGTCTCCCTTAAAAGACAAGTTAGTTGATATCTATAATTAATATTTTAGAAGAAGTTCAAATTTTAAAAAAAAAGGGGGATTAAAAGTGCTTTTGAAGGTATTTAAAACACTTTCCTAATTTCATACTAAAACACAAATTTGTGTTGAATGAATTGTTAAGCTAAAAAAGTGAAAAATGCATCCTTCAAAATCTCTTACAATAAATCAGTTTTGCTTTGAAGTTGAGATTGTAAACAGTATACTCCTTTTTGATTTTATAGCTGATGATTTTCACTTTTGCCATTCCAGATATGAGGAACTTTGGTCCGTCTGTCCCGCTTCAGGTTAAAGTTTTTGGTCAAGGTAGTTCTGATGAAGTTGAAGTCCAATCAACTTGAAACTTAGTACACATGTTCCCTATGATATGATCTTTCTAATTTTAGAGTTTTGACCCCAATTTCACGGTCCAGTGAACATAGAAAATGATAGTGCAAGTGGGGCATATGCATCCGTGTACTATGGACACATTCTTGTTTAAAATGTTTTAGTATTCATCCCAAATATTAACAGGATATAAGGATTTATGAAAAAAGCTAATAATCCATTTAGAAAAAGCTTTATATAGTTTGTAGGGGACAGGCATTTTGGTTATAAATAATTATTTGTGAAAAAAGAAAAAACAGAAATAAATAACTTTATCATTGGATTTTCAGTAATCATAAAGTGAACTAGATTTTTCTAGTTATCCTCTGGTTTGGTAAAATGATCCATTCCAAATGAGAATTGTTTGGAAATTTATACAGAATTCCCTAAATTCTGAACCAGTCCTACCAAATTTGATTCCGCAATGAGTTTTTTTTTTTTTGGCTTTTCCCAAAATTGATCAGACTGTTTTCCAATAATATTTAGAATAACTTGAAGTGTGATCTAAAATACTGATAACTACTGTCTTTATGATTTTACAGGTTCAGAATCATAAACAAATGATAAGTATGCAGAAACATAAGATGGGTTGTATAGATGAACTGAGACCACCAGAGGTAAATATTTATAGCCTGGTATGACCATAAAATTGCTTCTCATGGCAGTTAAACAACTTCTTTGTTTCTAAATCCCTGTCTTTGTCTCTGATATTGTTGGGAAATTATGTTAATTTTTTAAAATTTATTTTTATGTGAAAATCAAAATATTCATGAAATTTTAACAAGAAGTGTCAAGAGTTATTCCCCTAGAATATAAATAAATGCAACATTATGTGTTCGAATTATTGCTGGTGAAAAACTTACACAAATTGGACATAAACAAAAGGCCAACAAAACAATATTGGTGTCCTCGTTTGTAGAGGATTGTTTGTAACCAGAAGGTGTTAAAAAGATAGCCATCTATTTACCATAATGTTTTTGGATGCTATGTATGAAAAAAGCAACCGTATGGTACTTAGTTGATATTTGTTGTAGATCATATTATATATACTTATTTTACAGAAATTAAAACCTTGAATATTGTTGCTTACTATACTAGTTAAACATAAGATGTGTTGTAAAGATTTACTTTGTCTGATAGATTTTATTTTTAACGAAAGCTTCCTGTATTTATAGGGCAACCAAAGGATTAATGCTCGTTGGACGAATGAAGAGCTTTTGTTGGCTGTTCAAGGTAAAAAAATCTGCTGTAAATTTTTAAAATGTATTTCATTTCTATATTTAATTACAAAAGCAAGGCATTAAATATTGTTATAATCTTGAACACAACAAAAGGTAAATCTTCTCATCATAATATCATGTCCCCCAGAAACTAAATTTTGTTATCAAGTTTCAAAACGATATATAACAATATAGGATTGAGGTGTAATAATACAAGAGAAATATTTTTAGTAGTTATTGCAATATTATCAGGAAAGATTCAATACATACAATTGTAGGAATGAACATTTTTATTTTTTTTTAAATGTTCACCATTTTGCTGCTTACATCATATGCATAAGGGGGATAATTCTTTCAAAATGAACAGATGAAGGAAAAAAAATCTGATGTCAAACTGATTTTATTATTTCATTTTGAACTAATTTTAAATGTTTTCTGAAAAAAAAACATGTAAAAATTGATAGCAGTGTCTTTCAGAAGTGAAAACATGATTACATATTATTTGTTCTGTTAGCAGCGGTTTTTATACTGTAAATATAACCTTGAAGGAAATAAGTAGGATTCGATATATTCAATGAATTGTTACACTCTGATATAAGACACATTAGTTGTAAAAAAAAATCCATAAAGTTCTTTGTTCTGTGTATTCGAGGTCAGCTCAGTTTTAAAAATGTTAGTAAAAGTATTCAGGAGTTATTGACTTGCCTGATTTTATATTTGTTGAAATTCCTTTTTAGGAGTAAGGAAATATGGCAAGGATTTTCAGGCAATAGCCGAAGTGATAGGAAACAAGACAGAGGCTCATGTTAGAAGTTTCTTCATCAATTTTCGTAGACGATATAATTTGGATGAAGTATTAGCTGAATTTGAAGCTGAACACGGAACAGAACATACCAACGATGATGATTTAGATAAGGAGGAAGAAAAGGTTTGTTGACATAAATCACATGTCTAAATACTTCGGGGGCCTCGATGGCCGAGTGGTCTAAGTAGTTCTACTACTGTAATCACTAGCCAGTCAACACTGAGGTTGTGAGTTCGAAACCCGCTCGTGCGGGTCCACTCGACTCCAATCTTAATTGACTAGGATTGTCAGTTTTCCTATCGAAGGTCAGTGGTTTTCTCCGGGCACTCCGGCTTCCTCCACCAATAAAAACTGGCCACCACGAAATAGCCCAAAAGCTGTGCTTAAAAGTGGCGTTAAAACACCAAAAAATCAAAAATCAAATCTAAATACTTCGGATTTATTTTTTGGGGGTTACTTAATCTATATATTTTTGGATTTTTCTTTTATGGGCATATATGGCCTTTTATAGCTGACTGTGTGGTATGGGCTTTGCTCATTGTTGAAGGCTGTACGGTGACCTATAGTTGTTAATTTCTGTGTCATTTGGTCTCTTGTGGAGAGTTGTCTCATTGGTAATCATACCACATCTTCTTTTTTATACTTGATTTCCTTGTTTTGACAAATTCTGTACATATGACTAAAGGAAATTTGTTATTCACTTTAACCAAAGAAAACCATACAAATTAATATCCCACAAAAATATTTAATCCACAGTAAAGAGTTTTACAGAAAGTCCGGAATATGCCAGTTGCTTTCCATTCATTTCATGTGTATGAGCTTTTGATTTAGCCATTTGATAAGGGACTTTCCGTCTTGAATTATCCTTGGAGTTCCGTGTTTTTGTTATTGTTATTGTACTTTGTGAAAAACAAGCTTTTTGTGAGCATACTATTCTGTGTGATGGGTTTCACATTCATTTATCTTCAACTTGCTGTTTACTGAATACTTAAACATTCTTACACATAATGGCCATGTATGAAATTTTTGTTGCATTTTTCTCAGAAAGTACAAATCAGTTGAATAAATAGAATTAGTGTATTTCCTGATCTGTGATACTGTGTGTAATCTGAATTTCCTATCAACACAATGAATACTATTTTCAATAAAATATTGGATTATCACAGGAAACAATTGGCTATTTTTCATGACATTTCAATATTTTTGTGTAAATTGATCTGTAAGGACCAGTCCAGTGTACCTTAAGTTAATGAAAGTTAAAAATTATGGGTACCAGTAGTTACCTGTAACCATTAAGTTAGGAAATTGACAAATTCTGAATTATGTTCTATCTTCAAAATATTCAATTGTAAGTATATGTGACTCTAAAATTCTAAAGTATGCAAGTTTTTTTTAATTTTGTATGCACTGGTAGACAATAAAAAGTTACATTGTAGGTTTATTTCAATATTTCAGATGGAAGTTGATATAAAAGAACCAGACAATTCTGCTCCTAGCTCTGGAACACCACCACCATTACTGAAACAAGGAACCTCGCCGATCAAAGTTCCTAATGTATCACAACACAGGTGAGATTATAGTTGCATCTTCTATTTTCCATCAATATATTGTCTCCCATTTGTAAGAAATTCTTGTCATGTGTTTTGTAAAGCTTTTTTCTAATGGTCAAGATTTTTAGAATGACATTATAATTTTTTTAGAACCATGCCAAGGTCTTCAAACATAACAGGCACATATGTTATATTATCTTCAAAATTTAGCTATTTTCAGAAATTCTACGCATTGAGAAAAAAATGTATAAGTTTACATATTACTATTATATTATTGCAGATTGATACCAAACCAGCGAACAATATTACAGCAACCACCACCCCTTATCAAACCAAATTCCTCTTCACCAAAGCCAGCTATAACAACACCTTCGTAGGATTTACTGGATGATTAAAGGGATTTTTTATGTTAAGTGCTCAGTTGAGGCCTGCCACCAGATGTTGTGCATGTGATGCCAGTTAAAATGTAATCTGCAGACAGTGCAAGAAATGTAATTCAGGCATTATTGTCTATGGCTATAGTTTTACAGTTGGCCATATTAACATTATGTAGTATTAAAGGGATCGCATCAGACAACTGACACTTGAACCAGTTCAAAATGGTTTCCTGATTTTTATAGTTCAAGGAATTTTTCACGTATCACATCATTGCATCACTAAATGTGAATAAGTGGGATGTTTTTGTTTGTACATTTTATTTTTGTTGTTACCTGTAAAGATATTTATTTATTTTGTTTTCTCAGATTTTTGTATATTGAGAATAAGTGTTTTTGATGTTTGCACTTTTGTTTGAGGTGTAAGGTGCTTTATTTTTATATGGTACTATGTAACACAGGTGTCCACATTGTGAACATGTCCGTCTATTAGATATTTATGACTGTCTTTAAAGTTTGTATTGTATATCTTACAGCTGAACTAATAGAAGATGTACTTTGTGCATAAAATTAAAGTTTGCTTGTTTGTTCTAGGTGAACTACAGTATGAACTATCATTGTAAATATAGTAACGAACTGATCACATATGTTTTTAAGTCACATTTTTGATAACTCTCCAATGATACGATTGGCTAATATTAACTTGTTACTCTTTCAATAGGTAGTATAAAACAAAAGAAATATTGATTTTATTGTCATCTACCAAACAAGCATACAATTGTACACATTCAATTATACATGCTGTAATTCAGCATTTTCACTTGGAGGTACATACATAGTGTGAAATATTTTTTTAAGAACTGGAACTTTTTGAATTAAATCAACAAACTTCATTCCCGGTTATTTTTATATTTGTATAGATTATAGAAATAGTTTAATAAGATTCCAAATTTTATATGAATCATCTTGCAATTTTATTCATGTTTTTTGTTCAGTGCGTTAGTATTTGTAGTTTTCATCAGCATTATCAATGAGTGAAAGTTTCATTTTTTTTTCACTTAAACAGCAGCAAATCGTGGATTATAAATATTTCATCTCTAAAATAAAGGGTATGTTGCAATTTTCCAGAAAATTAGAGTCAACATCATCACCATGTACTGACGCTACTTATTGTTATGTTCATCAGATTAGAGGTGCAGTTTGAACCCGATTTTGAACTTAAAAATGGAAATAGAAGACAATTTCAATTCTGGAGTGTTGGGCTTTCTTTCCATTTCTGGACCATACTCTAAGGTGGTAGCGGAACTTCAAAAAAGAGTGTAAATGGTGAAATAACTACTGACTGTGAACGAATACTCTTCAGGAATGACTACTTCTGGTTTCAGGTCAAAATGAATCCAAAAAATGAGAAAAAATAGGGGAAAGTCTGGATATTGGTTAATAACTTGAAATTACTTTCTTTAGATTTCCATACCCAGATCAGTTTCTCTCAGATCTGAGTACTTGTGCATGTGTTCACTGGGCTCCTCTCTGTTTGAAGGTTACTGTAAGCTAAAGCTATCAGCATACCTAAAGCATGCCAGTCAACAAATAGGATGAAAAAATGTCAAAATTGGCAATAGAAGGATAATTTTCATGAAACTATCCCTATTATACCACCCTTATCCTCACCGGCCTGTATTAATGCATATGAATATAGTACTTTGTAATGTTTAACAGTAATATCATTTCTGTATTGTATGTTAATAATATTTGAAAGACAGCTGATCATCTTCATTGTCAAACATTTCTTTTATAAATATTCTAAAAGATGGTGATTTTTTTATACTTACTAGTCTTCATACATAATACACTTTTTTCACAAACTTCATGACTCCAAGTTTAAAATAACAACTTATAAATGTTTTCATTTTTAAGGCTAAGTAGTTGTTAATCTGTTTCACTATCAGCAAGTTGTATTTAAAAGAACAAAAGCTGTTTGTTTGGGTTTTATGAAGATCCACCATTTTGTATTAGTAAAGTAACACATTTTTCAGACTTTTATTGTAGATAAATGGACTAATATGGTGTGAAGTCAATGATTACTGCTATATCTTTAAGGACTACTGAAAACCTACTATTTTTTACTGATACTTCTTTATGCGTTGAGCCCTTTCTAGTTTATTTTTTGAGGCTCTTTAACGCTTTTGATTTTTTTGGAGGGGAAAATATTTTTGAAAATTTCAAAGCAAAAAGGAAAATAAATATAGAAACAAACTACTAAGAATTGTGAGTGAATTCACTGTAAAAAGATATTCTCTGAGAGACTTTGACCACATATTGCATTATTGCAGTGAATATATTTGATTAACTCCCCTTAAAATGAAGGATAGGGTATGCATCCATATGTAGTGTTATACTCTTATGAGGCTCATGGGAAGACATATGGATAGCCAGACTGGTTGATTATTGTTTATAACGTCCAAAACATTGTTTGTGGGGGGATACAAAAATCCTTATAGTATAAGGCCATAAAATTGTTTGGGTCAGTGACCTGAATGTTCATTAAACCATATCCATTGTTGACCGTTGTGCTACAAGAGAAGGACTACTGTAAGGTTTTATATGATCATTACAAATTGCATGTGTTAACATGATGTATGTCATGTGATGTATCAGTGAAATAAAGTTTTGTAAAATACATGACTCATTATATTTTTTGTCTTTTACACTACCTGGATTTGTTTTTGCTTAATCGAATTATGACTATTGAACAGTGGTATACTACAGTTGCCTTTATTTACATCATTATTCTATACTATGAAACACTGAAATTCCTGCATTGGTAGTGCTTTTCTGGATTAACTTTCATCAGAAACACTTGGTGCCAAAGATATTATAAATGGATCATGATAATTATTATCACATAAACTGCAGAGAAGAGCCTACTTAAAAAGCTCCGAGCATCCTCCGAGCATGCTCTGAGCTTCCTTGTAAGAATAAATCTATGATCCCTAAATAATAACATGTGAAGAGGTCACCAGAAAGAAGTGACCCACTTCCAGCTTTGACTTCTAGACAATATAGTATGCAGAACCAGATATACCAACTCTTCCAGTGCACATGAATTTTAATATGATTTTATTTTGCCAAATTTAAATCTTAGATCATTGTTGTGTGTGCATCAGTCCTGGTCTGATTTCATTTAGTTATGGTTTTGTTCTATGAATAAAGGAAGATGTCAGGTATATTTCATTGAGACAGCAACCTTTTTTGTAACACAATATGAACTCTTAGAAAAAGTAACCCATGTTTTAAGGGGTTTTGTAGTTGAAAGGAGACACCTGTCGAGTTAACCATTGCAAAAAAAAAACGTTAAAAGATTCCAAAAGGACAATAAAAAACAAAATACTCAAAGAAAAACTCAATACAGTGGAAAAAAAAATGAAAGATGTCTACTAAACTCTACATAGAAAAGTAAAGAATGAGGAATAGAAAAATCACCAAAAACTCGGGATCTTGGGTGCTCAGGTAGGGTACACACCTGGTACCAGTTGCATTGCTAATGGTAACTACAAATTAGGTGATGTTGATGTAACGATTATGGAAAAAGAGAACAGGATTGGTGCTATGACAATTGGTATATATCTGAGGTCATCTATGACTCAGATATTCCATAAGGGTTAACCAAATTATATTATTGTCTGTAAAACTTTCAAAGGTCTAAAACATGTATGTATAATTACGCTGCTTAGCTTCAGAATAAAATCAGAATAAATTTAGAAAGTTTCCATGGGACACAGATAATGCCGCCGCTTGCATAAAACCTTATAAAGGGACATACCTAGAGAACTGTAAAAATGACACCATCCAAATACGAACTTGATCTGAGTTTTATAGTAATAAGCATTGTGTATAAGTTTCATAATATTTGGTTGATGCAAACTAAAGTTAGAGAATGGAAACGAAAAATTCAGCAATTTTTCCATTTATAAAGGGGTATAACTCAGGAACGGTAAAACGGCATCCAAATTTGTATTTGATCTGTGTTTTTATGCCCCTGCCGTAGATTAAGTTTTACCCTTTGTCTGTCTTTATGTACGTACGTACGTCCCAAAATTGGTTTCCGTTCTCTAACTTTAGTTTGCCTCTACCAAATGTTATGAAACTTATACACAATGCTTATTACCACAAAACACAGATCAAGTTTGAATTTTGGTGGCGTCACTTTTACCATTCTAGAGTTATGCCCCTTTACAAATGGAAAAATTGCTGAATTTTTCGTTTCCGTTCTCTAACTTTATTTTGCCTCAACCAAATGTTATGAAACCTGTACACAATGCTTATTGTCACAAAACACAGATCAAGTTTGAATTTTGGTGGCGTCACTTTTACCGTTCTAGAGTTATGCTCCTTTACAAATAGAAAAATTGATGAAATATTTGTTTCTGTTCTCTAACTTTAGTTTGCCTCAACCAAATGTTATGAAACGTATGCACAATGCTAATTACAGTACCACAAAACACAGATCAAGTCCAAATTTTGGTGGTGTCACTTTTACCGTACTAGAGTTATGCAACTTTACAAATGGAAAAATTGCTGAAATATTTGTTTCTGTTCTCTAATTTAAGTTTGCCTCAACTAAATGTTATGAAACTTATAAACAATGCTTATAAAATGGTTTACTTTTATAAATTTTGACTTGGATGGAGAGTTTTCTCATTGGCACTCATACCACATCTTCTTATATCTACTTATTACTACAAAACTCTGATCAAGTACAAATTTGGGTAGCGTCACTTTTACAGATCCTGAGTTATGTCCCTTTATAACGTTATGTGCAAGCGGGGGCATCATCTGTGTCCCATGGACACATTCCCCATTTATTTGGTAATAAGTTTTGTGTATAAGTTTCATAACATTTGGTTAAGGGAAACTACAGTTAGAGAACGGAAACCAATTTCGGGACATACATACTGACAGCCAAGGTAAACCTTAATGTCCCCTCTGCTACAGCAGGGGCATGAAAAGGCCTCTACTGTTCCTCTTGAATTTCGTTTTGTGACACTATTCAAATTAGACACTTAATGAAGCCTACATGTACATATATCTGCCATTAATATTGATAATACTAAGGAGGCAGTATATTAACAAGACCAATAACTGGCCTTGACCTGCATCACTGTATGTAATTGATGGAGGTAACATGTCATGTATCTTGAATCATTACTGATCATTCCCTTTTATAGAAGCCAAGAAAAGAATGATAAAAGGTTTCCCTGTACAATGAGTGTTGTAAAATTGCAAACTATCAACAAACAGAAAGTGGCTGCACAGTAGATGTAATAAAATGCTCCGCAGGGCGCAGCTTGATACGACCGCAGAGGTCGAACCCTGAACAGTTGGGGCAAGTATGGACACAACATTCAAGCTTGATACAGCTTTGCATTTGGACTGTGATTAAATATTTGACACAGCATAGGTTTCTGACACAGAATGAATGTGGTCTAAGAACTTAAAAATTTTAAATTGGACATTCACCTATTATGGTCCAATATCCAAAATCTAAATACATGGTTAGATTCAGCATATCAAAGAACCCCAAGAATTCAATTTTTGATGAAATCAAACAAAGTTTAATTTTGGACCCTTTTGACCTCAATGTGGACAAAGTTGATAACAGGGCCCAAAAATCAAAAATCTAAATACATGGTTAGATTCAGCATATCAAAGAACCCCATATATTCAATTTTTGTTGAAATCAAACAAAGTTTAATTTTGGACCCCGATTTGGACCAACTTGAAAACTGGGCCCATAATCAAAAATCTAAATACATGTTTAGATTCAGCATATCAAAGAACCCTAAGAATTCAATTTTTGTTAAAATCAAACTAAGTTTAATTTTGGACCCTTTGGACCTTAATGTAGACCAATTTGAAAACGGAACCCAAAATTAAAAATCTAAATACACGGTTAGATTCGGCAAATCAAATAACCTCAATAATTCAATTTTTGATGAAATCAAACAAAGTTTAATTTTGGACCCTTTGGACCTCAATGTGGACCAATTTAAAAACGGGGCCCAAAATCCAAAAACTAAATACACGGTTAGATTCAGCATATTAAAGAACCCCAAGAATTCAAGAATAAAACCCCATTGAAATTGGTCAAGAAATAAGCAATTTATATGAAGTATCTTCTTTTGCACAATACTGTGCAATTAAATATTTCTTGCTATTGCGCAATACTGTACAATTGACAATTTCTTGCTATTGCGCAATATTGTGCTATTGGATATTTCTTGCTATTGCGCAATACTGTGCAATTGAAGATTTCTTGCTATTGCGCAATACTGTGCAATTGAAGATTTCTTGCTATGTGCAATACTGTGCAATTGAAAATTTCTTGCTATTGCACAATACTTATAATATAATAAATTACACATCCTGTTTGGTGTGTATCTCCTACCATATCATTATTATTTGCTTTTAAATATAAATCAGAAATAACCAACTTAAAATGGAAAATTTTAAAAGAAAAAAAAAAGGAAAAAAAAAAAAAAAATAACCCCCCCCCCCCCCTCAAATTTTTTGAACCCCCTTATGATTCATCACCCCCAAACTCAATCCCAGCCTTCCCTTTGTGGTATGGTACCTTGCAGTACAATTTCAGAGAGATCCATACACTTGAACACAAGTTATTGTCTGGAAACTAGAAAAATGTGTTTTATGGCCCCTTTTTGGCCCCAAATTCCTAAACATTTAGGGCAATTACCCCAAAACTCAAACCCAGCTTTCCCTTTGTGATATGGAACCTTGTAGTACAATTTCAGAAAGATCCATACACTTACACACAAGTTATTGTCCTGAAACTAGAAAAATGCTTGTTTTTTGCCCCTTTTTTGGCCCCTAATTCCTAAAATATTGAGGCAATTACCCCCTTCATCAATCCCAGCCTTCCCTTTGTGGTATGGTACCTTGCAGTACAATTTCAGAGAGATCCATACACTTGAACACAAGTTATTGTCTGGAAACTAAAAAAATGCTTATTTTTGGCCCCTTTTTGGCCCCCAATTCCTAAACGTTTCGGCAATTACCCCCAAACTCAATTCCAGCTTTCCGTTTGTGATATGGAACCTTGTAGTACAATTTCAGAAAGATCCATACACTAACACACAAGTTATTGTCATGAAACTAGAAAATGCTTGTTTTTTGCCCCTTTTTTGGCCCCTAATTCCTAAAATTTTGAGGCAATTACCCCCAAAATCAATCCCAGCATTCCTTTTGTGATATGGAACCTTGTGGTACAATGTCAGAGAGATCCATACACTAACACACAAGTTATGTCTGGAAGTTACAAAAATGCTTATTTTTGGCCCCTAATTCCTTTACTGTTGGTACCATAACCCCCAAAATCAATCCCGACCTTCCTTTTGTGGTATTGAACCTTGTGGTAAAATTTCATAGAGATCCATTCACTTAAACTAAAGTTAGAGTGCGAAAACCAATGTGTCTTCGGACGACGCCGGACGACGCCGGAGACGACGACGACGCCAACATCATACCAATATACGACCACAAAAATTTTTTTGCGGTCGTATAAAAATGTCTTGCCCCCTACAACTCAACAGCATGAAGCTGCAGACTAAATGTAAACTTCCAATTTTTCTATCAAAGGTCTTTGGACAGAGTCGAGAGGTTACCAGACCTGCTTACCTGCCACAACTTGGGTATCATAACGCAGGTAAAAATATGATGTTTGCACGCCAATGTATAAAGTATGCAGGGAAACAACAAAGTGCCCATTAATAGTCTATCAAGGACCATGACTCCTGGACAGTAAAAATGAAATTCATCAATATCAAATTTGACCAATATTTTGTCATCAGTAAGTGAGTAACAACATATTACAATTTGAAAACCATTGATAGAAGGGTTCATAAGTTATTGAACGGAAACGACAAAGTGCAATTTTTCAATATATCAAGGACCATAACTTCTTAACAGTAAAACTGAAAATCTTCATTATCAAACTTGACCTCCATTTTGTCATTTTATCAAATTTAAAAAGCATTGGTTGAATGGTTCATTAATAGTTATTGCATGGAAACTGTTGGCAGCTGCCTGCCCGCCATACTTCATCAATTTAATAACCTGATTTTTCCTCAGAAAACCTGGTTAAAAAAGTAAAAATCACTCTTTTTTAAGTATCATCTGGTTCAACCCAAATAATTGCAAGTTATCAAACTATGTCATTTTCTTTAACGGACTTATTCACAAAACATTACATGAAGAACATTTTTGCGGAAGCAAACTGAGGGTCCAATACACCCTTTCATAATAAAACAAGACATAGACATGCTAATGAAACTATTATATAATTGTAAGCTGACATAAGCACACTGATCTTCTACATGCAGTCAAGGCAATTTAAGCTTGCCATATATTGAAGATGCTTTTCAAACCGGGACCTCTAGAGGTGTTTTTTGGCAAACCTGTGTTTTTGGGTTGTTGTCTCATTGCAGCATATTCTTTTAATTCACATTAAATTTAATGTACATGTCTACTACTGTTGCATGATAAAGATGAAAGGGTTTTAAAATCTGTTTGAAAACGATGTAACCCTGATGCAACTTTAGGCCTCCTTTGGTGGTTCAACTTAGACCTATAGGGCCTTGCAAGATTTTGTGATGCAGACAATCAAATGAACTTATTTTAAAAACAGGCATGTGATAACATAAAATTGATAAAAGAAGTGGGGACCAATGTCTGCAGCAACATTATAAATTTAATCTAACTAAGGCCAATAACTCCAACGCTATCTTTTTTGTTCATTTAAACCTTTTCTTAACAAGAGTGCACACGCTGAAAGTCTCGCCTTCTTTACTAACCATTGATTTTATGTTGATAGTCCTAAATACAAAGCTTTACTACAAGTAACACATAAACTTAACATGATCCAAGAAAATGAGGTCAAGGTCAGATAAACCAAAGAGAAATACATGTACACCTTACAATCATTCAATAAACCAAACATAGTTGACCTATTGCTGATTGTTTCTAAGAAACAGTCTTAAACAAGAAAACTTAACATTGACCAATGAACCATGAAAATGAGGTTAAGGTCAGATGAACCATGCCAGACAGACATGTACACCTTACAATCAATTTAGACATTAAATATAGTTGACCTATTGCTTATAGTATCTAAGAAACAAACTTAACCATGAAAACTTAACATTGACCAATGAACCATGAAAATGAGGTCAAGGTCAGATGATACCTGCAGACAGACATATACACCTTACAATCCTTCCATACATCAAATATAGTTGATCTATTGCATATAGTTGAAGAAAAACAGACCAAAACACAAAAACTTAACACTGAGAAATGAACCGTGAAAATGAGGTCAAGGTCAAATAAAACCTGCGAGACTGACATGTACATCATAAAATATTTCAATACACCATTTATAGTTGACCTACTGCATATAGTATTAGAAAAAAAGACCAAAACTCAAAAACTTAACTTTGACCACTGAACCATGAAAATGAGGTCAAGGTCAGATGACACCTACCAGTTGGACATGTAAACCTTACAATCGTTCCATATACCAAATAAAGTAGACCTACTGCTTATAGTATCTGATATATGGACTTGACCACGAAATTTTAACCTTGTTCACTGATCCATGAAATGAGGTCGAGGTCAAATGAAAATTGTCTGACGGGCATGAGAACCTTGCAAGGTACGCACATACTAAATATAGTTATCCTTTTACTCATAATAAGAAAGAAATTAACTTTACTTTAAAATGTTGACTTTTTTTCAAGTAGTCACTGAACCATGAAAATGAGGTCAAGGACAATGGACATATGACAGACGGAAACTTCGTAACATAAGGCATCTATATACAAAGTATGAAGCATCCAGGTCTTCTAGCTTCTAAAATATAAAGCTTTAAAGAAGTTAGCTAACGCTGCCGCCGCCTTAGCCGCCGGATCACTATCCCTATGTCGAGCTTTCTGTGACAAAAGTCGCAGGCTCGACAAAAACCAGACATGGAATATATACATAGGAGGGCTTACAATGCAATTTTCCATAGAATTTATATTCCAAGGGATCTAAATATCATATAACCATTAGTTGAATATTTTATAAGTTATTGAACAGAAATGACAGTATCATTTTCCAATATATTGAGGACCACTACTCCTGAACAGTAAAAATGATCGATGCTGATTTTCACATGTCTTAGACATTGCTTATATAATCCTTTGATGTAAATTTCATAAAAATCTGACAAGAATTGCATGAGAGCACTTACAAGACAAGATTTACAGTCTGTGTCACTCCCTCTCTGCATAAAATTTCTTTACAAAATCTGAAAACTAACTAGAAAACATTTCAATTTCTCTGAGCTTTTTATAGCCACTTTCTTAAGGTATGGGCTTTTGCCTATTGTTGAAGGCTCAGTGTAGAGTGATTTTAGATATTGACTTTCACATCCTTTGGTCTTTGGTGGATAGTTGTTAATTGGCAATCATACTTTTAACACTAGTCAGAAAACTGATCAATTGTTGATGTCATATAAATTCCTTCCAATCAAATGCAAATGTTTTGGCAAACAACTGTTGTCATTGGTGATACAGAAACACATAGTTGATGACAATTTTTATTTTATCAATAATAACACAATAATAAATGTTTAGTTCAGTTTTTAAAGGGGTTTGTAGTCCAACTTGGATTCTAACTTCTTATTATCACCAACTTTCCTGACAGCCTTCATAAAATCTTCTTCTATTACATAATCTCTCTCTGCTCTGATAGCAAACATACCTGTAATCAAAAATATTCAACAATAAAATAAATGTTTATACATGTATGTTAAATGATTCCGCCTTTCAAATATTATGACAATCTGAATACTGGCATTAAATGTGACATATTTTAGTTTTTTGGGTGGTTGGGTTGCTGGTTCATTGATTTATACTCCACATCTTTTTTTGATTTATGTATATCTACATTTAATGTTGAAATGCATTTCTATAATTTTAAATCTCCTCATTAATTCCAGCTAGATCAGAAATGGTTAAAAAATAACTCATCTTTTTTTCTCATTGTGTTATCAGATTATTTTCGACTTATGAGTTTGAATGTCCCTTTGGTATCTTTCTCGTTTCTTTTTTAAACAACAAAATTTCTATTATGTTGTGTGTGTAAAAAAAACTAATTATCAATAATTCAGAACTGGAAATGATAAAACTATAAATTCAAAATGTTTTGCATGCATTTATTATAGTGATTGTCGAACAATGAACACAAATGCCAGATAAACAATTGCGATTTCAGGAAATTCTTTATTCAAATAACAGTATCAACATTTAAAATACTGTAGATTCATTATTAATCATGAGATACCAATTTTTGTGCCTTTTATACATATTGGTAATCCATAAGTTTAAATGTGCAACAAAGTACACATTTTCTATGGGTTTGTATGCAGACTTTGGGGCCCTTTATAGCTTACTGTTCGGTGTGAGCCAAGGCTCCGTGTTGAAGACCGTACTGTGACCTATAATGGTTTACTTTTATAAATTTAGACTTGGATGGAGAGTTGTCTCATTGGCACTCATACCACATCTTCTTATATCTATTTGGCAAATCCACAAATTCAAATATCCATGAAAATACCAGTTTTCTTCAATCCACGAAAATTGGTACCCACAAAACTAATTAAACCACAGTACGAGTTTTATATTTGTGAAAATTATCAGGTTGCTAACATATAAACATCGTAAACATTTCTGAATTAACAGTATTGCATAAATTTAACAACATTATTAGTTGCGATATTCTGCCATATTTACATAAATTATGGTTTAAACTCACTCAAGTAAAGCAGATTTTAATTGATTAATTGTGGTTTAACGCCACTTTTTACACGATTGGCTATTTCGTGGTGGTCAGTGCCGGAGTGCCCTGAGAGAACCCCGACCTTACCTAGGAAAACTGACAGTCCTAGTCAATTGAGATTTAAGTCTAAAGCACCTGCCATGTGACAGGGATCGAACTAACAAACTCAGTGTTGACAGGCTAGTGATACAATAGTTAAACCTACTAGACTGATCGGCCATCAAGGCAAAATAATGCTGAATTTAAACAGTTTTGGTTATTAAACCTGTTTTGCAAGTTTTGAAATAATATGTACATGGAATAACCATCTCAATAATTACCTGCTTCAGTACAAACATTTCTCAGATCTGCTCCATTGAAATCATCAGATAATTTAACTACTGCTTCCCAATCTACAATATTTAAATGTTTGGAGTTATTACTCATTCATATTTATAAATTTTAAACCAGTTATTTTTTTTACAGATAATGTTTCTTTACACAGTTTAGCCCTTTCTAGCCAACTGTGCAGTAACTTATTAATGCCATTATCCAACTTTGTTAATGTATTCATGTTAAAGAAGATACCAGTTTGACATTTATAGTCTCATAATTTTTCTACTTGCAAAAGAAGTGTAAATAAATACCCAGAGACAATTGGTTGGTTTACAGTAACCATAAGAATGGTATAGACACATAGATATGAACTCAGTCTAAACCGTAAAGGTTTTGGTATACATTGCTTATTGAATATAGTTTTCAGCCTTGATCATGTGCTGATAGGGACAAATTTAATTATTTTTTTTAAAGGACTTTTTTAAATGACAGAGTTTTTTCCTTCTGATATATATCTGTGAGAAAGAAACACAATTCATAAACAAGAACTTTATAAATGTTTAATCCAGATGACAACAGTCTTCTCTGTGTAATAACTTTAAGCAAAACACATTAAATCCTCCTAACCTCTGATGCATGGTACATTTAAGATTATCAAAACCAGCAGAGAACTTTTGAAGCATATGTAATGTTTCATTCAAAAGATGTCTATGCATTTTCATTGTGTTTTTCTTACTAGAAAAAGTCTTACCTATTTCACCATGTTTTGCTATAGGCTGTGCGTGAATCTTGAGAATTTCAAGTCGTGATTGCTCATTGGGAAGTGGAATTTCTGAAATATTAAATTTTTTCATGATAAATTCATTCACATTAAAAAAAATATTATGAACAATAGACATAAAGGAATAAAATGATTTCATATTTTGTGAGTTTTGACATATTTCTAGTCTAATGTCATTCAAAATTAAATTGAATAAAATGCTTCGCTGGGCGCAGCTTGATACGACCGCAGAGGTCGAACCCTGAACAGTTGGGGCAAGTATGGACACAACATTCAAGCTTGATACAGCTCTGAATTTGGATTGTGATTAAATATTTGACACAGCATAGGTTTCTGACACAGAAAGAATGTGGTCTAAGAACTTGAATTTTTTTAATTTACCTATTATGGTCCAATGCCCAAAATCAAAATACATGGTTAGATTCAGCATATCAAAGAACCCCATATATTCAATTTTGTTGAAATCAAACAAAGTTTAATTTTGGACCCCAACTTGGACAAACTTGAAAACTGGTCCCATAATCAAAAATCTTTTTTTTTTCAATTTTTGTTAAAATCAAACTAAGTTTAATTTTGGACCCTTTGGACCTTAATGTAGACTAATTTAAAAAACGGGACCCAAAATTAAAAATCTAAAAACACGGTTAGATTTGGCATATCAAAGAACCCCAATAATTCAATTTTTGATGAAATCAAACAAAGTTTAATTTTGGACCCTTTTGACCTCAATATGAACCAATTTGATAGCGGGCCCACAAAATAAAAAATCTAAATACATGGTAAGATTCAGCATATCAAAGAACCCCATATATTCAATTTTTGTTGAAAAAAAACAAAGTTTAATTTTGGACCCCAATTTGGACCAACTTGAAAACTGGGCCAAAAATCTAAAATCTAAATACATGTTTAGATTCAGCATATCAAAGAACCCCATATATTCAATTTTTGTTGAAATCAAACAAAGTTTAATTTTGGACCCCAACTTGGACCAACTTGAAAACTGGTCCCATAATCAAAAATCTAAACACATGTTTAGATTCAGCATATCAAAGAACCCCAAAAATTCAATTTTTGTTAAAATCAAACTAAGTTTAATTTTGGACCCTTTGGACCTTAATGTAGACCAATTTAAAAAACGGGACCCAAAATTAAAAATCTAAATACATGGTTAGATTTGGCATATCAAAGAACCCCAATAATTAAATTTTTGATGAAATCAAACAAAGTTAAATTTTGGACCCTTTTGACCTCAATATGAACCAATTTGATAGAGGGCCCACAAATAAAAAATCTAAATACATGGTAAGATTCAGCATATCAAAGAACCCCATATATTCTATTTTTGTTGAAATCAAACAAAGTTTAATTTTGGACCCCAACTTGGACCAACTTGAAAACTGGGCCCATAATCAAAAATCTAAACACATGTTTAGATTCAGCATATCAAAGAACCCCAAGAATTCAATTTTTGTTAAAATCAAACTAAGTTTAATTTTGGACCCTTTGGACCTTAATGTAGACCAATTTAAAAACGGGACCCAAAATTAAAAATCTAAATACACGGTTAGATTTTGCATGTCAAAGAACCCCAATAATTCAATTTTTGATGAAATCAAACAAAGTTTAATTTTGGACCCTTTTGACCTCAATATGAACCAATTTGATAGCGGGTCCACAAATAAAAAATCTAAATACATGGTTAGATTCAGCATATCAAAGAACCCCAAGAATTCAATTTTTGATGAAATCAAACAAAGTTTAATTTTGGACCCTTTTGACCTCAATGTGGACAAAGTTGATAATGGGGCCCAAAAATCAAAAATCTAAATACATGGTTAGATTCAGCATATCAAAGAACCCCATATATTCAATTTTTGTTGAAATCAAACAAAGTTTAATTTTGGACCCTGATTTGGACCAACTTGAAAACTGGGCCCATAATCAAAAATCTAAATACATGTTTAGATTCAGCATATCAAAGAACCCTAAAAATTCAATTTTTGTTAAAATCAAACTAAGTTTAATTTTGGACCCTTTGGACCTTAATGTAGACCAATTTGAAAACGGAACCAAAAATTAAGAATCTAAATACACGGTTAGATTCGGCATATCAAAGAACCCCAATAATTCAATTTTTGATGAAATCAAACAAAGTTAAATTTTGGACCCTTTGGACCTCAATGTGGACCAATTTAAAAACGGGGCCCAAAATCCAAAAACTTAATACTTGGTTAGATTCAGCATATTAAAGAACCCCAAGAATTCAAGAATAAAACCCCATTGAAATTGATCAAGAAATAAGCAATTTATACGAAGTATCTTCTTTTGCACAATACTGTGCAATTGAATATTTCTTGCTATTGTGCAATACTGTACAATTGACAATTTCTTGCTATTGTGCAATATTGTGCTATTGGATATTTCTTGCTATTGCGCAATACTGTGCAATTGACTATTTCTTGCTATTGCGCAATACTGTGCAATTGAAGATTTCTTGCAATTGTGCAATACTGTGCAATTGAAAATTTCTTGCTATTGCACAATACTTATTATATAATAATTTACACATCCTGTTTGGTGTGTATCTCCTACCATATCATTATTATTTGCTTTTAAATATTAATCAGAAATAACCAACTTAAAATGGAAAATTTCAAAAGAAAAAAAAAAAGGAAAAAAAGAAAAAAAAAAAATCCCCCCCCCAAATTTTTTGAACCCCCTTATGATTCATCACCCCCAAACTCAATCCCAGCCTTCCCTTTGTGGTATGATCCATACACTTGAACACAAGTTATTGTCTGGAAACTAGAAAAATGCTTATTTTTGGCCCCTTTTTGGCCCCCTATTCCAAAACGTTTCGGGCAATTACCCACAAACTCAATTCCAGCTTTCCCTTTGTGATATGGAACCTTGTAGTACAATTTCAGAAATATCCAAACACTAACACACAAGTTATTGTCATGAAACTAGAAAAATGCTTGTTTTTTGCCCCTTTTTTGGCCCCTAATTCCTAAAATTTTGAGGCAATTATCCCCAAAATCAATTACAGCCTTCCCTTTGTGATATGGAACCTTGTGGTACAATGTCAGAGAGATCCATACACTTACACACAAGTTATTGTCTGGAAGTTACAAAAATGCTTATTTTTGGCCCCTTTTTGGCCCCTAATTCCTTAACTGTTGGTACCATAACCCCCAAAATCAATCCAAACCTTCCTTTCGTGGTATTGAACCTTATGGTAAAATTTCATGGAGATCCATTCACTTAAACTAAAGTTAGAGTGCGAAAACCAATGTGTCTTCGGACGACGCCGGACGACGCCAGACGACGACGACGACGACGACGCCAACGTCATACCAATATACGACCAAAAAATTTTCAATTTTTGCGGTCGTATAAAAATTTATTTACTCCGGCCTATTTAGAGCTTGACATCATGTTGTACTTATATACCTTAATATAGCACGAGGTACCCAACTCTTATTTTTAAGAAATGACACACGGTTGCGAACTTTCATGATGTCATATCTTTTTATAGCTTTCTTATAAAGAATGGATTTAGCTCATTGTTGAAGGATGTAGTGATCTATAGTTGCTTACATTGAAGTATTTTGGACTCTTCAAATTTACCTATTTTTCTGTCCAATCTCCCAGGACGTAACAAGGCAGGATCTAATGTGTCTGGTCTGTTTGTTGCCATTATCATTTTGACCTGACCTAAAGCATCAAAACCGTCCATTTGATTCAACAACTACAAAACAAAATAGAAACACGAGTGACAATTTCTTCAACAGAATTTGAACATTTACAAGTTTTCATTAAAAGACAGCAGAAGTACCGGTATTGTTACAAGTGGTAAATTGTAAAGAACCTTTACAAAAATAGCTGCTGAAATGGGGATTGCTCAGGAAGAACTCAGGTAAATCCATTTACTGGAAATAAAGCTAATTTGTTTCACGTGGTCTTTTTTAATTTCAAAATTTTCAGAAGGCACTCCTATTAAAATCTGAATATTATACAATTATTGTCTTTGATGTAAATATGCAGTTTTCTTGACTTTTGAAAAACCAATTTTCACTGAAGTCGATGGCAGAAATGAATAGCAGTTTTTCAAAATCAATTAAACCACATATTTACCAAAACAAAAGACGGTAATTCTTTTATTCCATATTCCGATAGAAAACAATGTATCTAATAACAAATATACCAAAACCAATTGTACATCAAACATTTTACCATAATGTTACATGTAAAAGTGTGTGATGTTTAGCACGGTTAATATCACTTTTCTCCAGGTGAATATGCTGTTTTATTCAAAATTCAATTAATATAGAAAATCCTACTAAAATAATACCAATAAGGAACAATAGTGATTATTTTTGAAAGATAGCCTGATCAACTATAGGAAAAAAATTAAATAAAAACTTTATGCATGACAGGGCAAAATAAAAAGTGCCTTTTGACCCCTCCATACATTCATTTCTGGAACAGCCATTATTATCAACAGAAAATTTGATATCAAACTGTTAGACAGTTTATAAAATCCATACCTCCATGAGAGTTCTCTGTATTTCTCTGTCTGCTGATGTACCTTCTGAAAACCTTCTTCCACCTAAAAATAAATATTAAAACAGTATTTTAAAATACATCATAAAAACAGCAATCAATCGGCAATTATATTTAAACCATACTGTGTTTACAATATGAACTATTAGAAAGATTATCAAGTCTCAACAATAATTACTGTTACTTATTTCAAATGGTTCATGAGCAGATTTCAGATAATTCACTACACAGATGAATCTCAAACTAGGAGCTCTAAATGCAGAATGCCAGAAACCGAAAACAGGATACGTCATGAACAACTATAATTTCAGAAATTTTGTGTTCAATTATTACTGCAATTGTAAAACAATTGTCAAAAATGCAAGGTTAGTTATTGTAATTTCAAAAAATGCTGCATACATGTTTTTTTTTTTTTTGCAAAACAAATAAAGTTTCTGAATTTACAATATATACATAAAAAATAGTTCATCCCTGCCAACTTTTCATGTACATTTCTTTAGTCAGGGACCTTGCTAGTGGTTGACTTTAGTCATATCTTAACATTTGTTTTCATTTGTAGAATTTGGTGTTGATGGCAAATCATTAAAAGTCTTATTCAATGCATAACAACTCAGGACAATCTAAAACTAGACTTATTGTAACAACATCTGGCTATTTTTGAAGACTGTATGTTATCCTCTAAGATGTCTTTTAGTTATTTGTTTCAATGGTGTTTACCACTTTTTATTCATACACAAAGATCAGAAATTATTTGATCAAATAGCATAAATAGGTTTATAGCAATAGAACCATAATTTGGCAGCAATAACTATTACAACATACCTATAGCATCTATTTCATCCATAAATATAATACATGGTTCATGGTCCCTGGCAAAAGCAAACATTTCTCTGATCAGTCTGGCACTTTCACCAATATATTTATCTACAATAGCACTGGAGACAACCTATAAATATTTTGATAATATTTTTGGTAGGAGAAATACATATATCTGTTAAAAAGACTTTGTTTTACTATAAATTCTCTCTGCAGTAAAACTATAAACATGCACATGAAATCAACATGAAATACAAATTCTCCAGGATTTGTTTTAGGCAAGATTAACTATATATACAATTGTTTGATATGCAATTTCACAGGTACCATGACGCTATATTCTTTTACCCTTAAAATTTCACCTCCTACCAATTTCCATATTAACTGTGTGTGGTCAGAAAGGATCCAGAATTGTTTTTACACAATTTCGGTCAATTTCAGATGACTTAAAAGTTGGGCCCCCTTTTCAAACTGACAAAATTATTCACACTAGATTCATAGCATCAACCAACTTGTGTTGACTGTTTTATCGCATTTACTTCATGAATATTCTTACCGAATGACTCAAAATGGTAAATTTCACAGACATTGCTAATGTTAATTTTGATTTTGAAGACAAATTAAACTGGAAGTTTCACGACAATACTGAAGTACAAGTAATTCCTGATTCATTTCTGGGATTCGTTCTGTTAATCAAATTGATTGGAAAGCACTGGATTTTTAATTTTATCACCTTTAAATGTGTTCAAATATAACAGATAATAGTTGCATTCGTTTAATTTAGCATGACATCATTTTGCATTTTATGATGAAGTGTCTAATCTGGTGAAGACAAATTCATGCATGCGTATTACATAGTAAATAACGCACATATTTGACTCATGAAAAATTACTTTTGTTTAGGTAAATTAAATCAAGTTTTAATTTTAAATTAGAATAGCCGATTGTCTTTGCTGAAAAGGAATTCAATAATGAAGAAAGTTGTAATAGAATTTTAATTTATGATATTAGTTCTGAGCTTGTGATTCCTGTCAGGTGTGAATAAAAACACAGGTAAAAAGTGATTAGCAATCATTAGCCAATATTTCCTTGAGGCATTAATATGGTTATTGGGAGAGGCCCTTAGGATTATTATACTCTACCGAAGTGGCAGTTTTATTACAGGAAAGGGATTACAAAACAAATAAAATGCTCCGCAGGGCGCAGCTTGATACGACCGCAGAGGTTGAACCCTGAACAGTTGGGGCAAGTATGGACACAACATTCAAGCTTGATACAGCTCTGAATTTGGATTGTGATTAAATATTTGACACAGCATAGGTTTCTGACACAGAATGAATGTGGTCTAAGAACTTAAAAATTTTAAATTGGACATTCACCTATTATGGTCCAATATCCAAAATCTAAATACATGGTTAGATTCAGCATATCAAAGAACCCCATATATTCAATTTTTGTTGAAATCAAACAAAGTTTAATTTTGGACCCCGATTTGGACAAACTTGAAAACTGGGCCCATAATCAAAAATCTAAATACATGGTTAGATTCAGCATATCAAAGAACCCCATATATTCAATTTTTGTTGAAATCAAACAAAGTTTAATTTTGGACCCTTTTGACCTCAATGTGGACAAAGTTGATAACGGGGCCCAAAAATCAAAAATCTAAATACATGGTTAGATTCAGCATATCAAAGAACCCCATATATTCAATTTTTGTTGAAATCAAACAAAGTTTAATTTTGGACCCCGATTTGGACCAACTTGAAAACTGGGCCCATAATCAAAAATCTAAATACATGGTTAGATTCAGCATATCAAAGAACCCCATATATTCAATTTTTGTTGAAATCAAACAAAGTTTAATTTTGGACCCCGATTTGGACCAACTTGAAAACTGGGCCCATAATCAAAAATCTAAATACATGGTTATATTCAGCATATCAAAGAACCCCATATATTCAATTTTTGTTGAAATCAAACAAAGTTTAATTTTGGACCCCGATTTGGACCAACTTGAAAACTGGGCCCATAATCAAAAATCTAAATACATGGTTAGATTCAGCATATCAAAGAACCCCGTATATTCAATTTTTGTTGAAATCAAACAAAGTTTAATTTTGGACCCTTTTGACCTCAATGTGGACAAAGTTGATAACAGGGCCCAAAAATCAAAAATCTAAATACATGGTTAGATTCAGCATATCAAAGAACCCCATATATTCAATTTTTATTGAAATCAAACAAAGTTTAATTTTGGACCCCGATTTGGACCAACTTGAAAACTGGGCCCATAATCAAAAATCTAAATACATGGTTAGATTCAGCATATCAAAGAACCCCATATATTCAATTTTTGTTGAAATCAAACAAAGTTTAATTTTGGACCCCGATTTGGACCAACTTGAAAACTGGGCCCATAATCAAAAATCTAAATACATGTTTAGATTCAGCATATCAGAGAACCCTAAGAATTCAATTTTTGTTAAAATCAAACAAAGTTTAATTTTGGACCCTTTGGACCTTAATGTAGACCAATTTGAAAACGGAACCAAAAATTAAGAATCTAAATACACGGTTAGATTCGGCATATCAAAGAACCCCAATAATTCAATTTCTGATGAAATCAAACAAAGTTAAATTTTGGACCCTTTGGACCTCAATGTGGACCAATTTAAAAACGGGGCCCAAAATCCAAAAACTTAATACACGGTTAGATTCAGCATATTAAAGAACCCCAAGAATTCAAGAATAAAACCCTATTGAAATTTATCAAGAAATAAGCAATTTATACTAAGTATCTTCTTTTGCACAATACTGTGCAATTGAATATTTCTTGCTATTGCGCAATACTGTACAATTGACAATTTCTTGCTATTGCGCAATATTGTGCTATTGGATATTTCTTGCTATTGCGCAATACTGTGCAATTGGAGATTTCTTGCTATTGTGCAATACTGTGCAATTGAACATTTCTTGCTATTGTGCAATACTGTGCAATTGAAAATTTCTTGCTATTGCACAATACTTATTATATAATAATTTACACATTCTGTTTGGTGTGTATCTCCTACCATATCATTATTATTTGCTTTTAAATATAAATCAGAAATAACCAACTTAAAATGGAAAATTTTAAAAGAAAAAAAAAGGAAAAAAAGAAAAAAAAAGAAAAAAAAAAAAAATCCCCCCCCCAAAATTTTTTGAACCCCCTTATGATTCATCACCCCCAAACTCAATCCCAGCCTTCCCTTTGTGGTATGGTACCTTGCAGTACAATTTCAGAGAGATCCATACACTTGAACACAAGTTATTGTCTGGAAACTAGAAAAATGCTTATTTTTGGCCCCTTTTTGGCCCCTAATTCCTTAACTGTTGGTACCATAACCCCCAAAATCAATCCCAACCTTCCTTTCGTGGTATAGAACCTTATGGTAAAATTTCATGGAGATCCATTCACTTAAACTAAAGTTAGAGTGCGAAAACCAATGTGTCTTCGGACGACGCCGGACGCCCCAATTCCTAAACGTTTCGGGCAATTACCCCCAAACTCATTTCCAGCTTTCCCTTTGTGATATGGAACCTTGTAGTACAATTTCAGAAATATCCAAACACTTACACACAAGTTATTGTCATGAAACTAGAAAAATGCTTGTTTTTTGCCCCTTTTGTGGCCCCTAATTCCTAAAATTTTGAGGCAATTACCCCAAAATCAATAACAGCCTTCCCTTTGTGATATGGAACCTTGTGGTACAATGTCAGAGAGATCCATACACTTACACACAAGTTATTGTCTGGAAGTTACAAAAATGCTTATTTTTGGCCCCTAATTCCTTAACTGTTGGTACCATAACCCCCAAAATCAATCCCAACCTTCCTTTCGTGGTATAGAACCTTATGGTAAAATTTCATGGAGATCCATTCACTTAAACTAAAGTTAGAGTGCGAAAACCAATGTGTCTTCGGACAACGCCGGACGACGACGACGACGACGCCAACGTCATACCAATATACGACCAAAAAATTTTTAATTTTTGCGGTCGTATAAAAACGAGTGCAAAATGGTGACAAAGAAACCAGATCTCAATGAATTGACCGAAATTAATTCTGTAAAAAAAATTAAATTGTACTAAATCCCAACCTGTCATTTAGGACAAATAGCTGTCAGTTTACGACATAACTGGAAAATATTACCGTTTCCGGACCTTTGGTGGTCAGTTTTCTTGGGTTATTCTTGTCATAAATTATCATAATTATTATGTTATATAATCCCAAAATTTTTGTAGGAATTTATTTTCACTAGTTTATATCATGTTTTAAGGGTAATATTTATTAGACTTTTGAATACATCTTGATAAAAATTTGTAAACTATGAAAACAAATGACTTTCCAGAAGTAGAAAGTACAAAGTGAAGGTATACTTTTGAAATGTTTCACAAACTGAAAGCACTGTGTGTCATTGAGATTATTTGTGCATATTAAAACTTGATTACTTTAATATTACATACACTGTAAATATTTTATGAACTTGAAATCTCATATTTGATAAAAAACAAAGACATTTTGCTTGCCATTTTGCCTATTTGGCCATATACAATTTGTTTGCAATTCATTTTCAAGGATTTCGTTTTGATTTTCTGTGCTCCCCTTTGCACCCTTCTTCCCTTTCTGTGCTCCCCTCTGCCCCTATAGTCATCCCTTTGCTTTTTTGTTTCTGAAAGAAATAGATACTGTGGATTCTTTTAATATTTTCATGGATACCAATTTGTGGATTGATGAAAAAATTAAATGTGTCTTCATGGCGATTAAAGACACAATAAAGTCCAATCAACAGTCAGTTTAGTTCAGTTCTAAAAACAGTAATGGGATTACATAGCATTCCGCATCAAAACCAAATCAATTTGGGGCAAATCCTGTTCAACTTAAATAATGAGCAACCACTATAAATAAACACCTGGAGCCAGTATTAAAAAGAAGAAAGTAAAGTGTGTATAAGTAGGTTACCTTTAAAAAGTTAGCATCTAGTTGACTTGCCACAGCTCTGGCTAGTAATGTTTTTCCAGTACCAGGTGGACCATATAACAAACAACCTTTAGGTGGTGTTATACCAACTCGCTGGAACAATTCTGGGTTCATTAATGGTAATTCTATCACCTGAAAAGAATGGATAATCATACATGTATGTACTCAAATGAAAAATAAAATATACAGTGTTGATCAGGTGTTTCTATACAAAAAAGATGGAATAACACAACCTTCATAAAAGGTAATTAATGTATTTCATCTGAAATGGAAAGATAAAGGTGAACTCAATTAGTACAACAAATAAAGTCTTACTAATTAACGCTTTTTTTTTATAGCACTTTTATCAAGGATAAAAATGTCATAGAAATCTCTGAACTTACATCACATGTTTATTGAAAAAATATAGTTGTATCTCCTTCCTCCCTACCTACCCTTAAGAATCATGTCTACCCTGAAATTTATAAATAAATTGAGAATGTGTCCATGGGACACAGATGATGTGCCTGCTTGCATACAGTTATAAAGGGACATAACTCAAGAACGGTAATAGTGACGTCACCCAAATAGAACTTGATTTTAAGTTTGTGGTAATAAGCATTGTGTATAAGTTTCATTTCATTTGGTTGAGAACGGAAAAGAAAAGTTAAACAATTTTTCCACTTGTAAAGGGGCATAACTCTAGAACGGTAAAAGTGACGACAACTTCAAACTTGATCTGTGTTTTTTTGGTAATATGCATGGTGTATAAGTATCATAGCATTTGGATGAGGCAAACTAAAGTGAGAGAACGGAAACCAATTTTTTGGTAGTCTGACATACAGACGGACAAGGTAACACTTTATGCCCTCTGCTGCGGACGGGGCAAAATGACAGACATTGCTTGTTCAGCACTTTTAAAGTCCTGGATATTTCCCTAAATGGTACATGTAAAATATTAAAAAAAAAAAAAAATCATTTTAACCTATCAACCTACCCATTTTCTGCCATATATATTTATTTTTTGCCTTATTAATGAGACTTACTTCTCTGAGTTCTCTGATTTGTTCTCCCAATCCACCGACCTGATTGTAGCTAACATCACCAGGATCTTCTACAGACATGTTGTATACTAGTGGATCAACTTCTCGGGGAAGATATCTTAAATTAAGAATTATACAAAATAGTTATTCTCATTATTATAGTATAAGTATCATATTACTGTAAATGGAAAACTAAAATTGGTGTTGAATTACTGGTATGTTAATGACTTGTTGTTCAGATTCGTCTAAATCTGCGAGTTCTGATTGGTCTTGATCTGGGACCCCTGATTTGTCTAGATCTGCAATTTCTGATTGGTCTAAATCTGGGAGATTTGATTGGTCTAAATCTGGGAGTTCTGAATGGTCTAGACAAGATTTACTGGTAAATTTATTAATTTTCCATGAGTATCATGCTGATATACATACTTTAGATGAAAAATAAGTACAGAAATATTTGTGATGTTTTTATCGTTGACAGGATAAGTTTTGGAAAAATAAACACCTGCATATTGAATTTTGATAGCATTATTTGTTCGTATTATTTCCTGAAATAGCAATAATTAATTTCATTTTTGTTTCATTGTTCAACAATTATAATTATAAATGCATATAAATTTATTTTAATTTACAGAACACTAAGGCATTTAGTTAGGCATGTATATACCAATTGCAATTGTTGCCATCTGGCAGTACAGGGACTGCATTATCTACACCATAATGTCACAGGGGAGTTACATAATGACTCCAAAATGAATCTTAGTCTAAAGTAGGGTCATCATTATAGGATGGTTAAATGAATTAATGCAATTTGTTTGTACTTTTCAGAAAGCTGTTTTTAAGCAGGAATGAGAATCATCTTGAGAGTGTTTCAGGAATTTTACCATTGACTCTAACTATGCAAAACATTTTTTAGGTAGGTCTTAAGCATGTAGTTTTAATATTGCTTAGTATGACTTTGTATCATAAACATCTTTCCCATACGGTGCATATCCCATTTTGCTATAATTCATCTCAAATCCTTTTGACCATGTCTTGAGGAATTACCAGCTTTGCCTCAATTCAGTGAATATAACCATTTATCATTGGTCTTAGCAGAACGTTAGCTGGATTTAAAAAAGAGTTAAATTTATGTGAGTTCTTATATGATAAAAAGATATCTTGCCAGTCCCAACAGAAAATGGTGTCCAGTAGTCTTCTTTATGAGCTGTAATGATCCTGAGAAATAGTGAAAATTTACCTCATAACAGTTAGGGTTGTCATATCTAATGCAACTCTGGTTCCTGACTTAAGTTTAGATTTATCTAACTGACGACGACATCCAACTACATATCTAGGACCATTAGTGGCTTTAACAATAACTGTAAAATAAAATATGATATCAATCAATGATAAACAGTATATCCTTTGTAAACAACTACAGTCTTCAATTAAGCTATTTACTTTAATGCATCAAAAATGAATCATTTAATTTTAAATACAAACCAGTACTAGTGTGTCCTAAATGAGCTTTTTTGAAGGCACTGTTCCTTGTCCAATTTCTATGAGATAAGGTCCTGCCTTTTTTGTTGAAGAAAATTTTAAGCACATTGCCCTTTTTATAACGCCTTACCATAATTTATGATCAGTACTATGATTCATTGTATAGGTATTTCTCTATGCACATTTTTAGCTGCCTTTTATTGAATTTTACAAATGTGTTTGAACAAATACACTTGATGACTGAATGGAATATAGACAACTGCGACTGTGCAATAAGTCAAACACAATAAAACATATATGTACAGAAAGGTCAAGGCTGGTTTTCACTTAATAGAAATGACCTTATAACAGGTTTGACTGTACATTATACCATTTGACAATTAGATTTTACTATACATACATTTATCTTCTGTTAACTGTTTCAATACTTCTCCAACAATCTAAATAAAAAAGAAAAAAAATTCTTAGAATACAGAAATGCACAGTCAAAAAAATTGATAGTTGTATACTGTAAATTCAGAAATTAATGTGTGCATTCCTTATTATGAATCATTGTTTACTGGTAAAAATGTGAGATCTCATCAATGCAAATGATAAATTATAAAGGGGCATAACTCTAGAACAGTTAAAGTGACGCCACCAAAATTCATACTTGATCTGTGTTTTGTGGTAATAAGCATTGTGTATAAGTTTCATATCATTTGGTTGAGGCAAACTTAAGTTAGAGAACGGAAACTAAAAATTTTGTAATTTTTCCATTTATAAAGGGGCATACTCTAGAACGATTAAAGTGACCCTACCAAAACTCAAACTTGATCTGTATTTGGTGGTAATAAGCATTGTGTATAAGTTTCATAACATTTGGTTGAGGCAAACTTAAGTTAGAACACGGAAACTAAAAATTTTTGCATTTTTTTCTTTTATAAAGGGCATAACTCTAGAACGGTTAAAGTGACGCCATCAAAATTCAAACTTGATCTGTGTTTTGTGGTAATTAGCATTGTGTATAAGTTTCATAACATTTGGTTGAGGCAAACTCAAGTTAGAGAACGGAAACCAATTTTGGGACATACAGACGTATGTACATATGTACAAACGGACAAGGGTAAAACTTTGAAAATTTGAAGGCAGATTTTAAGAGAGGTCATCTTATGTTCAAATGAGTAACATAAATTTAATAAAATGCTTCGCTGAGCGCAGCTGGATACGATCGCAGAGGTCCAACCCTAAACAGTTGGGGCAAAAATGGACACAATATTCAAGCTTGATACAGGTCTGAATTTGGATTGTAATTTAATATTTGACACATAATAGGTTTTTGACACTGAATAACTGTAGTCAAAGAACTTAGAATTGGTTATAATATATGATTTGAATTTATATTCAATTTTTTGCTTTTGTGCAATACACTATGCTGTTGCGAATTTACCCCCCCACAAAAAAAAAAAAAAATTTACCCTCCTTTTTTTTTGCTTCTGTGAAATACACTATGCTGTTGTGTATCGACCCCCCCCCCCTTAAAAAAAAAACGAATTTTTTTACCCCCCTCCCCCTTTTTTTGCAAAAAAAAATAATATCTGAAGAAATTTTATTTTTATTTTACCCCCCTCCCCCCCTTTTTTTCCAAAAAAAAATTCTTTCCCTCACAATATGGTCATAATCACAATTCAAATTTCCAATGAGTTTGCAACCATAATTACCAATTTAAATACATCATAAAAGTCTTAAAATAGAAAATGACATACATAATCATTGCTAAAATTAATATTCCTTTAATAATAACTTCAAAATATAAATTGACAGCTAATCACCTCAAAGACAATACAAAATTTCTTTATACATAATTTAAAAGCAATGTAAGGGAGGTAATCCAAACATACACAACATTGTACTTTAAATGTATTTGGATTATCTCCCTTACACTGCTTTTAAATTGTCCATTAACCAGGAAACTTTTGTTTTTCCCCCTTTTTTGCCCCTAGTTCCTAACCGGTTTGAACCATAACCCCCCAAAGTCAATCCTAACCATCCCTTTGTGGTATGGAAACTAGTGGTATAATTTCAGAGAGATTCATAGACCGTTCCACAAGTTATTGTCTGGAAACTGGAAATGCTTATATGGGCCCTATTTTGGCGGCTAATTCCTAAACTGTCATAACCCCCAAAATCAATCCCAAACCTTCCTTTTGTGGTTGTAACTTATATACCTTTTTTTAAATTTCATAGATTTCTATTTACTTATACTAAAGTTATTGTCCAGAAACCAAATGCCTTCGGACGACAACGACGACGTGATACATAATAAACAACCGCAATTTTGCGGTCGTATAAAAATGCATGTACCAGTAGATCAGAAAATTGAATGTCCTAACAAATGCATAAAACCTCATAAAATATATAACAATATGTGAACACAGTTATCTAGAAAACAATCCATTCTCCAGCTCATGTCACTCAGGATGTTGTAATTTCCACCTAACCACTATGGGCAACTCAAATTAAACCGAGAATTTATCTCAAAATATTGAATTCAATTTTTTCCTATGTAAAGTAGGTTAAATATTTCTATAGGATAGACAAAGGGGACTTTCTAGAAGTTTGCCCACAGGATGTATCAGGGGACTTTCTAGAAGTTTGCCCACTCCCATCATGGAGGTTTGGAAATGACAAAATGCACATGAACTGTAATGTATACAAACCTGTCCAACACTCTGTAGAGCTTTTAAATCATTTTCTGATTTATCATACTGTTTGTTTAATTCTTTGGAATTCTCTCTCACTGAAATAAAAAAAAAAAATGAATGTTTACTCCACATCTCAATAAATATGACAACCAATATTACCTTCATTTTTGTTTTGAGATCAGATCACATGAATGATACTGTGGATTCATTTATTTTCGTGGGTATCAATTTTCGTGGATTGAGGAAAAGTTGCCTTTTCGTAGATATGTGATTTCGTGGTTTTGACAAAGTCTGAATACAATTCTATTTAAAATTTGTATTTCTTTGACATTTAAATTTGTGGTTCACCTGTACCCACGAATTCCCTGAAATTTGGTATCCAACGAATAATAATGAATCCACAGTATGCAATGAATTCCTTAAAGAATAATTTTGAAGGTACACTGTAAGTAGCCAAATTAACAAAAAGTAGTTCAAATTGTTGAATGTTAACTGACAATGACTTTTATATTTCTACATATTCTATTCTAGAATAAGAAATTTGCAATACAAGTCATTTCCTTGAGAGAGTATGAGTATGATGAGGATGTTTAACATTTATTATTTTTATGCCCTGGAATAAAAATAATTACCAATGAGGGTCTCATCAATTTCAAAGATTGATTGACACACATTTTACACAACTTTCAGCACTAATGGCTATTTCATGGCGGTAAGTTTTCTTGATGGGGAAAGCTGGATTGCCTGGAGAGAACCATGACCTTCAGCAGGAAAACCAACAATCATATCCAATTAAGATTGGAGTTGAATGCACATGCAACGTGTTGGGTTAGGAAATCACAACCTTTAAGGTATCTCCCCAAAAGAAAAGACAAAAAAAAACATGGTGAAGTATATCCATAACAGTTAACTTCACTAAAGCTGGTCTCTTTTTTCATCTTTAATCTAAAAGAGAGCTGACTATGAAAACTAGTTTTTGGAAAACTTATTGTCCTAGATCAATATTATATGTACACTTGTGTACATTTTCATGTACTTATATTTTGGCATTGCACAAGGTCATTCTTTTCTCAGACTGTTTATAACTTCTTTACACTTAATCTGTTGGATGTGTATTGATTGATACTTTTGTCAGGGGGGACATGATATTGGCTTTGAATAAGTTTTCAGTAACTTTGAGTACTTTTGGATCAGTACTTCATGTCTTTTGTATTTTCAAATGATTTATGTAAGTTTTTTTGTGCTTCATGCTGATCTGATGAGATAAATCACTCAAAAACTCATTGAACTAATTTATGCAGTTTGTTCTTATGCTGTACTGTTACACTATGTCCCTGGTAAGGAGAAGTATTGAGCCCTCACAAACATGTTTAACCCTGACACATTCTTTATGTGCCTGTTTCCAAGCAAGGAGTTTAAACTGGTTTTAACCAGTTTGATACATATATATAACACTACAGTCAGATAAAATATTTCTCAACTCACAACAGTTAAATTTTAAAATTTAAATCATGAGGCTTGCACTGCGTTTTAAATATTAATAAAATGCTTCGCTGGGGCGCAGTTTGATACGACCGCAGAGGTCGAACCCTGAACAGTTGGGGCAAGTATGGACACAAAATTCAAGCTTGATACAGCTATGACTTTGGATTGTCATTAAATATTTGACACAGCATAGGTTTTTGACACAGGATGAATGTGGTGTAAGAACTGGAAAAAATTTAATTTACCTATTATGGTGGAATATCCATAAACTAAATTGTTTGTTAATTTCAATATATCAAAGAATATGTAGAATTCAATGTTTGATGTAATGTAATAAAGTTGAAATTTGGACCGTTTTTTTTCAATGTGGACCAATTTGGTAACATGTATAAATAATCAAAAATCTAAATACATGGGAGCCCATTTAAATACATCATAAAGGTATTAGAATAGAAAGTGACATCATAGTCATGGCTAAAAATAAACAAAAATCCTTAATCAGCATCATTTAAAGTAATATCTAAAAATAAAATTCCTTTGTAACCATAAAAGCCCATTTAAATACATCATAAAGATATTAAAATAGAAAATGACATCATAGTCATGGCTAAACATAGCAAAAAACCCTTAATCAGCATCATTTAACAGTAATATCTAAAAATGGAAATTACATCATAAAGGTATTAAAATAGAAAATGACATCATAGTCATGGCTAAAAATAAACAAAATCCTTAATCAGCATCAGCAACATTTTATAGTAATATCTAAAAATAAAATTCCTTTGTAACCATAAAAGCCCATTTAAATACATCATAACAGATATTAAAATAGAAAATGACATCATAGTCATGGCTAAACATAGCAAAAACCTTAATCAGCATCATTTAACAGTAATATCTAAAAATAAAAATTTCTTTGCAACCATAAAAGTAAAATAGAAAATTACATCATAATCATAGCTAAAAATAAACAAAAATTTTTTTATTGGCAAATTTTAAATGGAGTTTATTATACTAAAACAATAAATTTGCAACCATAAACATGATAAAACCCCATTTAAACACATCATAAAAGTATTAAATAATTCAACTACATCATAAGGCTATAAAAATAGAAAATGACTTCATAGTCAAGGCTAAAGGTAAACAAAAAACCTTCATCAGCAAAATTTTATATTGGCAAATTTCCAATGAAGTTTATTACACTAAAATTGTTGGCAAATTTCCAATGCATTTATTAACAATAAAGTTATTGGCAAATTTCCAATTTACATAATTTAAAAGCAGTGTAGATGAGATATTTAAATGAGTTTGAATTACCAACCTTACACTGCTTTTAAATAATGTTCTTTACTCAATTATTTGTCTATTAAAATGGAAACCCTTGTTTTTTAACCTTTTTTCCCCTTATTCCTTAAACATTAGAGCCATAACCACCACCACCACCACCCCCCCCCCCCCCCAAAGCCAATTATTACTTTCCAATGTAACCTAAATTTCCAATATACATAATTTTAAATTTCAATTCCTCATGATATATAACCGTATCATTATTATTTTCTTTCATATATAAATCTGAAACAACCATCTTTAAATGGAAAATTTTAAAGAAAAAAAAAGGAAAAAAAAAATCCTACCCCCCACACATTTTTTCAACCCCCTTTTGATTCATCATCCCCCACCTCCATCACAACCTTCAATTTGTGGTATGGTACATTGCAATACAATTTCACAGAGATCCATACACTTGAACACAAGTTTTTGTTGCAAACTAAAAAAATCCTTATTTTCGACCAATATTTGGCCCCTTATTCATAAATGTTTGAGCAATTAACCCCAAAACTCAATTCCTACTTTCTCTTCGTGATAAAAAATAACTAACTTAAAATGTAAATTTTAAACAAAAAAAAAAGGGAAAAAAAAAATTACCCCTTTTTTGACCCCCGCCCCCCTTATGATTCATCACCCCCATCCCCCTTTCCCCCCAAACCAAGCTCAACAACAGCCTTGCCTTTGTGGTATGGTACCTTGTAATACAATTTTAGAGAGATCCATACACTTGAACACAAGTTATTGTCTAGAAACTAAAAAATGCTTATTTTAAACCCCTTTTTAGGCCCCTTATTACTAAACGTTTTGGGCAATTACCACAACACTCAATTCCAGCTTTCCCTTTGTGAAATGGAACCTTGTAGTAAAATTTCAGAAAGATCCATACACTTACACACAAGTTATTGTCATGAAACTAGAAAAATGCTTGTTTTTTGCCCCCTTTTGGCCCCTTATTCCTAAAATTTTGAGGCAATTAACCCCAAAATCAATCCCAGCATTGACCCTTTGTGATATGGAATCTTGTGGTACAATGTCAAAGAGATCCATATGCTAACACACAAGTTATGTCTGGAAGTTACAAAAATGCTTATTTTCGGCCCCTTTTTGACCCCTAATTCCTTAACTGTTGGTACCATAACCCCCAAAATCAATCCCCACCTTCCTATTGTGGTATTGAACCTTATGGTAAAATTTCATAGAGATCCATTCACTTAAACTAAAGTTAGAGTGCGAAAACCATTGTGTATTCGGACGACGACGCCGGACGACGACGACGACGACGACAACAACGTCATACCAATATACGACCTCAAAATTTTTTTGCGGTCGTATAAAAATTCAACTGTCAAGAGTTGAGAAATATTGTTTGCGTTAGATTTATGGTGGTGAAATATGTTTCTCTAACATGTCTAATAATTTAGAGTCAACATGTACCAATCATTTTAGTTAGGCTAATTGCAACTGACTTTAACAGTTTGTTTTTATATGGTGATGTGACACCACTGTTTCAGGTTAAGGGTGGGTTGTGGGCTCACAAACATGTTTGACCCAACTAAATTCTTTATGTGCATTTCCCAAGTCAGGAGCCTGTAGATCAGTGGTTGTCGTTGGTTTCTGTCTGTCATATTTCTTTTTCGTAAATGACCAAAATTTGTACTTGATCTGAACTTGTGGTAATAAGTATTGTGTATAGGTTTCATAACATTTGGTTGATGAAAACTTAAGTTAGAGAACGGAAACGGAAAATCACCAATTTTTCATTTGTACTGTCAACGTTGTAAAGGGCATAACTCAAAAACAGTAAAAGTGACAGCACCAAAATTCAAACTTGATCTGTATAAGTTTCATAACATTTGGTTGAGGCAAACTTAAGTTACATAACTGAAACGAAAAATTCAGCATTTTTTTTCCATTTGTAAAGGGGCATAGCTCTAGAACAGTTTAAGTGATGACACTAAAATTCAAACTTGATCTGTTTTCTGTGGTAATAAACATTGTTTATTAGTTTTATAACATTATAAAATAGTGAATGATCAACATATACTGCATTGCACATAGGTTGGCCTTGGCATCAGCACAAGCTTCAAACAACATACCCTATCTCCAGAAATTCAAGTCTATACTGAAACAGCTCTTCTACTATTACCAGAACTCAGCAGTCCGTATGAGTGGTTTAAAGCAGTTAGAGGTATATTAACATTTAGTAATCAGTGATCACGGTAATTTAAGCAATTTGTCAGCCAGATAATTTGGTAAATTTTAAGGAGACAATAATCTGTTATACATATTGAAAATATCAACTACATATAAGAAAATGTGATATTATAATTGCCAATGAGAAAACTATCATCATTGTAAAATGATACTAAAATTATATTTTGTATGTGTACATTGACTCTATTTGATAATTGAAATCTTATATATATTTCTTTTTTGCAGCACATTCTTGGTGACCCTGCCATCAAACTGAAAGAGGTCGGTGATACTCGCTGGTTGTCACATGAAACTGCAGTCTGTGCTGTTAGCCAGTGCCTTCTCTCACTTATAACCAGCCTTGCGCGTGAAGCATCAGAACGTCATGATGCCACTGCAGCAGGTCTTGCTACTTTTGTTAAGAGTCCTTTCTTTGTTTGTACCCTTGCCATGCTTGGGGATGTTCTACCTCATCTCAACAGATTATCCAAGATCTTCCAAAAGACATCAGTTGACTTCCTGAACACAGATGACACTTCTACATCTACTTGAGAACCCTGCTGACAATATGACCAATCTACCAACCAGATTCCAGCAACTTGCAGAGTTATGGTGTAAAAGGCTCAGAGACTGACATCACATCATTCAAAGAAAGGGTAAATATTAAGATAAATCATAAGGACTGCACCAAATTTTTAGCTGATGTATTTCACTTTTTGTATCACCAACCAATTTAGCATGATTTTTAAAGTGGAATTTAATAGACAATAATCAGATAAACAAAAACAAGAAGATGTGGAATGATTACCAATGAGACAACTTCTAACCAAATGATATGTAAAGTTTGAATTGTTTGTCATATTTTTTGTCATAATTTTAATTGTGAAATTTCTATTCAAGATTTACCCCCAGTACATCAACGTTACAATGTTGTTGAGAATCTTCACCAGAGGTTTCCAGACACCAACATTCTTGATGCCTTGTCAGTGTTTGATCCAGACCTTATTGATAAAGAAGACCCCTGAGTGGGTCCAACATCAAAAGCTGAAGGTAAATAATGTTACTCAATAAACAATACCTTTTGTAATTGAAATGCTTTATAGGATGATCTAAGATTATTTTAAAGTACTGAAAACACAGAAAATATATATAACTTTTACTGGAGAAAAAAATAGAAAGAAAAACATAACATTGATGATGATGTATGTGTCTTGTTTTACAGCTGGTATCGAATTTGAGTTGGTATAAAAATAAGGAGATGTGGTATGATTGACAATGAGACACCTATCCACCAAAGTTCAAGTGATGAAGATACTGCCAATTCTGAGTTGTTATTAATTGTTAGACTGTTTAATATAATTCATGTTTATTTTTTTGTTTTAGACCCTGTCAGATCACTTCACTCCAGTTGGGTCCTTTGAGATGGTAAAGACAGAATTCCTCTCTCTTAGACAACTCATGGCAGTCAGCATGAAGGATCTGTCACTGAGAGATGCCCTGCACAAAGTAATACAGATGAGTGACTTATATCCAGCTCTTGCCAAGTACTCCATGATTGCCTTGGTTTTGCCAGTGTCAACAGCAGACTGTGAGAGGTCCTTCTCCACTATGGCTAAAATTAAGTCTGTTCTCAGGAACCGCCTCAGCCAAAGAGTTTTCAACCAGTTGATGTCTATTTCTATAGAAGGACCATCCACAAGTGACTTTAACTTTTCAGCATGTGTGTCAGCCTTTGGTCAAATCAGAAAGAGAAAGATAACAACTGACTAACTTTGTGGTTTTTAGTGACTTTTATAGATATAGACATTTAGTTTAGCTAATTTATTATTGTCAGTGTGTTTAATTTAGTGCTTGAAGTTAAGAACAAAATAGTAACTGTTTGATTTGATGCTTTAAATTATTGAAAGTTTAGATATTTGTTATTGTTTAAATATTATGTTTTGTTATGAAATGTATGCTACAGTTTAATCATGACAATGAACATGATGAATAAAATTTATATTTGTATTTTTTGTTTGATTATATGAATTTACAATGGAGATAAAAAATGATTCTTCATCTATTTTCAAACAATAACATTAACAAACAAATGGGTAACTTCCATGAGAACATCATTACAAGAGCAAACATCAATAGCATCATATATAAAAAAACATAAATTAATTACGAACAAACCGCGCACTGAGAGTGAGAATTGTTGAAAATCACGCGCTTACCACAGCGCTATCCAAAAATCCTTGGGAGAACACTGCATTTGGTCAGATTCTGACTGAGGCTTATGGTGATACAATGATATATATTTTATATTGTAATGTCTTATTGTTGACTAAATTACTTCTATCGTTGTACTTGATTTATATGCTCTTTATGGGCCCTGTTATTTGGAAAATAAAATATTCTATTCTATGTGGTCAAATAACATGAATAATGTCATCATTGTGCTCTCAACATTAAAAGTATTTTATTGATTAAAGAATAAACAAGTAACATATAAACACAACTCATATTAAATAAGTAGCATATTTTACTGAATCATATCATTTTTATCTAAGTATATACATTATGTTGTATCTCTATTTCTATGAAAAGTATTGTTTAGAGTCTGTACTAAACCACTGGATGATGATAATGGATGGCTACTAAACGTCCAGCGGCAAATTAATATTCATATTCAGGACAAGAACATTTAATCGTTAAAAAATATTATGTTATATGAATATTAACCCTGCATTGTACCAGACCGACACGCTGAGTCAAATTTAAAATGTGCTATTTCACAAGGTAACAATAAAATTAAACAGTCCGCAGGAATACAGATCACCTTTCTCAGACTCATTATTCTGACTCCGAGCCTTTGCTCTTCCTCCTTAATGCTGTGTGCTTAGAGTAGCAGCAAATACCAATTCTAAAGTCTTTAGTTTAACCCAGAAACCTTCAATTCAATTCAATTCAAAATATTTTATTGTTCAAATATCAAATCATGACAAATGTACCTTTAAACAAAGGGATTGGACAAAAGGCAGTGCCTATACAAATCCTTTCCCATACAAGATGGATTGAATAACATGATGGAATATAATTTTCTGATAAATTCATAAAAAACCCAGAAACCTCCTGCACTCAAGGTGAACAAGCTACCAAAAGACCATCAAGGCGGTCTAAAACACTGGATTCAATACCATAACTATTACTAAGTTGACACACTGACACTGTATAAACATATGCATAGATAGTTTGGAAGGTTGACTATCAATGTATTATTGTAAATTGATAGTCAATCATCCTGTTGATAGAAACAAATATCCAACCGCAGGTAAATTATGACGTTTTGATTGGTTAAATGCCATCATGTGGTGACCTCCTATGGCTCCTTAGGTGGTTAGTAAATTTCATAGGGGGATCATGACGTCATGTCTACTGTTAATGGTGACGTCATCTATTCGACTATTTATGTTGTTGTATTTCATTGTTTATTTTTCTACAAAACGCCACAGGAAAAGTCCTGTGTGCGATAAATTTGTTATAGTTATACAGTTCACTACTGGCCCCCCTATGGACCATAGACTGATAGAGAGTCTCACCCCTTATGGATTTTACTAACCCTCTATAGATCCGTAGAGGGTCAGTAGCGAACCATATAACTTATAATGTCTGTCATTTGCATGTGTAACATTTTGATATTTCACTATTTTTAGGATGACAAAGCAAGTTTATGGAATTATGTGAGCAAATAGTCTACACAATTTAAATGTTGATGGGAGTTATTTTAAGTCTAGTTTACAACGTTTGCTTGTGAACATACTTTCTTTCAACCTAGCTTCGAGTTCTTTGTGTTCGAGAAGCTTTTTTCTATAGTCAGCCAAAGCTTTTTCACGGGTACTATCTGTTGTTGCCATCTTTGAGCCAGCGGAAATGATACGAAGGGACGTAATTTATTAAAAAAAAAAAAGAGTTTCATTAACTACCGCAAACTTACGCGATATACGCACACGGACATTATTATAAGTATTTGTTCTTTTTTTTTATCGAAATATCGAAATATATATGTTTACAGTAAATGATTCATAGGGTGAAGAGGTAGTACGCCCATTTTGATTGGAAAATGTCATTTGTAGCATGAACTGGTTCAAGCTTTGTTTCGTCTCGATCTCTACGTTTAGTGGTATGATATTTCTTCTGAGTCTTTTAATTATTGAATTACGCCCCGTTAAAAAATTCTGTATCCATCCCTAGTTTTTATTATACTTTTTAGTATTACATTGCAATAATTTAATTCAAAATTGAATATGTAAGTAAGTAAGTAAGTAAGTAAGTAAGTAAGTAAGTAAAACTTTTTTTATTCGGCATATTGACAAACAACTGAAACGTAAGCTCTGATGACCTTTTCGCGGAATAGGCCCTGTAAAAACATTTCAGTACAATTTAAAATAAAACAAAGCATGCAGCAAACAAATAATTGTTATAAACACAGCACCCGTGCCAAATATACATATTATATATTGAAAACCCTATTTAAAACCATATATATGAATTAGCACTAAGACAGACTATAAGAAGATGATATTTCATTTATAAAAAATAATGGCACAAGGTTAATTTACAAACAGAAGCAGGCTTTCAATTTTATACAATTCAATCAATTCAATATTTGATTGGAAGAGCACAGTAGAGACGTGATCCAGGTACAGATACATTTAACAATTACATCTCATACAACATTGTACAAGTAAAAAGCTGTAAAATTAACAAGCTATTTTACATATGGTATATAGAAGTAAGTAATTTACGTAAGCTAGCTAGAAAATCAGGTTTAACCTACCATTTTCTTATGAAAGTCAGGAGTATGACAGTTATTTAATATCCTGCGTTTTTTTTTAAACATTTTTGTTTTCTCCGATTTTTAAAAAAATCAAGAAGGATCTTCTTTGTATATAGACATATGACTGTGCATAACAATTAATGGAAATTAAATGAGACAATTTTAACTTTCATACGACATAAAACTTATACAGGACGGACAGACGGACTTATATTGTTATAGGGCAACTTGTCGATGTGGTATTAAAAAAAATCAGATCCACTGCGGGCATTGAACTATCATATAGCTCCATTCACAAACGAAACTAGAGCGGAATAAGTCATGAAAATTCAATCTTATGATATACCTATTATAAATATATAAAGTATCCATATCCAGCCGGTGAAGATCGCCTCCGGGTGCGGGATTTTCTCGCTGTGTTGAAGACCCATTGGTGGCCTTCGGCTAACTGTTTTCTGCTCTTTGGTCGGGTTGTTGTCTCTTTGACACATTCCCCATTTCCATTCTCGATTTTATCATAGGTTTAAATAATGATTTCAACGGATCGTTTTCATGGATTTTTACAATAACAAATAAGCGGCAACAGATCTTTCACGATCCTTTTCACGATCATCATAAAGCGGTACCGGATCTTTCACGATCCGAAATATCAAATTTTTAAAAATATTCCCATTTTTTCAAAGTTTCTAAGTATACTAAAACAAATTTACTTTAAGAACCATTTTAAACAGTAATATGGAACGATATTTTTCAGAGAAAAGTAGTTTAAGCATTCAAAATATGAAAAAAAAATATGTTTGTTAACATTTTTATTTCTTTGAAATTTCGGTGAGCTATCTGTCTTTCGTAGTTTAACCTTGTTTTTTCTCAGATACTGAACGTTGCCTCTTCCGCCTCTATGCAATTTACGGTTACGGCCATTCCCTGGGACAGTGGTGTATAAAAAATCAACAAAAGAACAAACTGTAAAAAGGTATCTTGGGGGCTTAACCTTTAAATCGGTACTTTGCACAACAACAAATAACAGAAACACAATTGACACAACTCAAAGATGTAAGAATACTCGGAAATTCTGAAAGCTAGTTCAAAGCCATATTTCAACTAATAAATATATAACCCCGTAAATTTCGGCACGGGTTACATTAAAGTCTGTTGATCTATAATCGACACTGTGGCTGCTTTAAACGCATACAGTATATACAAATTTATTCACAAGTGTACAGTTTGAAAGCTAGGGGAAGACTGCCCAAGCAACAGTTTACAAAACATAAATTTAGAATATAGCAAAGTGCTCTCGACCAATAAAATTGTAGGATTTGGTGTTTCTTAATTGTGAAGAATGAATGAAATCATGTTCTTCGTAAGGGATTATCCTATTGTTTAGGCCTACTTATAGTTCAAAACAAAGAGTTTCTATAAATGAGTTACAAATGCCCCGAAGCCCATTTATCAGCTTGAAAGAATTTGTGATTAAAACTGACTAAATTAAAGTTGAATTTTGAAACAAACAAAAAAAAAAATCAAAAGCAGATGAAGTTTACTGGTGCAGTAACATTGGTTACTGGGTCCGCGGTTATTGAGAATAGTAATTTCCAATATTCTGATAAAATTCTAAAAAAAAGAATTTAGTTTAACTTTTGAATATATTTTAAACTATTTTAAAGGCATTGTATTTGAACATTTCCCTGACATAATGAAGTAGTATTTGATGTAAAGAACTGGACTAAAATATTGGCTGTAAAATAAAATTTATTTGTAACCCAAATAATGAATTTATTGATTTGAAATGGATATAAACAAAAAGATAATTCCTCGCTAAAATATTACATGATTTACATTCATACTCTCAATCAGGAAAAATTTCTCAACATTTCATTGTTTTGTTGTGTCATCTAATGTATAAAACATAATTTATTATATTTTCCAAAATTATAAGAAGGTCCTTACATCACTAAAACTAATCCATAAATGAAACCATGCCTAAAAAGGAAGTCATGCATTAATTATAAATATTGCACTGACAATGAAACTAATTCTTAAATACAACCAATCAAGAGATCATTTAAGCCTTGAGCACTTTACAATATTCTAAGTTTGTAAGAGAATGATAATCCCTTACTTCATGATAAGTACTCGCTAACGCTCGTACTTAATCATGAAGAAAGGGATTATCATTCTCTTACATATACTAATAATCGGATTATTGTCCTCCGGCTAAACTTGGTAAAATAGCGATATTTGCTTCTTTTGTAGTTGAGTGTAAGATACATGTATTATCTTTCGCACTCCTAACTGCCATCGGATTAAGTTGTAAAATAGTAAATTTATAATCTCATTGGGTATTTGAAATAAAAAAAACATTATATTTAAGAATATAGAAACATTTAAAACAAGAAATATTCAATTTAAAACTAAAACGAGAAATATTCAATCTAAAACGAGAGTTTATACGAAGCACTATTCGAATTATGGTAAAAGTTCCCAATGTCACTTTTCTTCCGGTTATAAATATACCAAATTCTCAAGATTAAAATGTCGCTAGATACACAAAACAAAACAAAAGGCATGATCCAAGAATCCTGTAGCGACAAACGGATATATTTGCATTAAAATAGTTCGAAGCACCACGAACATTTGTGTTGGATGGCAACTATTCAATAGAATTAGAAAGATTAAAAGCAATTAAAAAAAAACAATAATGGTTAAAATTGAGGTTCCGAGGCAGCAGCTTCTGTAAGGAGTCGATTTACAATTTCAATCAGTTTGACTTATTTGTAGCTCTGGTGTTACTTATCAGTTTTACTATCCATGTTTCATTCTATACTGATGATTTTTGTCATATTGAATTATTCTATTTGTAGTCTCTTTCGCACTTATTTTATTTTGCTGTTAAACAAATCTTTCGATCTTCATAAAATTTCAAGATTAAATAACAAAAAATAAAAGTCCAAATAATTATGAAAGGCTATTTTATTTAAAAAATTGTCATTCATCGGCGTTTACTCTAATAAGGAGTCAATTGACAATTTGCGGACTTATTTGTATATCCTGCTTTGCCGGTTATTTTTACTACATAAAGTTTCTCTCTATGTATAACAGTTTTCAAGATAAAAACCGAACAGTCCAAAATAAGTTATCTAATTTAGTGGAAAATTGCAAGGTAGTTAGACCTTTACCTGTTGATAATCTGTACAATGTCAGTTTTGCTTTAATCGCTTTTGTATTTTGAGATATCAGTCAAATACTGTTGATTCCATTACCAAACTTTACCTTAAAGCTACGCAGGGAAACTAGTTTAAAAATAACAATTGGGAAAATTATCCACCCATAACACGGCGACTGTTGTTAAAAATAGAAGATAGGGATACAAATGCAGTAGATACAGACACAGAGAAAATATACCGTATACTTACTTGGCCGAAGAACGGAGGTTTTTTTTCGTTGGTTTTCCAGGATATGACCGGATATCATCTTCATATAAAGCAGATTGAGGCAAGACCGCTTACTGATTGCCAGTAATTGCCAACTCTGTAAAAAAGAAAAGAACAATAGAGAACAAAAAGCTAGAAATTGGGGAGAAAAGGAAGTAAAATCATCCATTGAATTGAATCAGCTTGAATACCATCAAAAGTTACTTAAGTTTCGGAAATTATTTTGAATTAAGGAATATATCTCCCTCTTGCAAAGCTCTGACCGAATTGGGCTCTAACTAAGGTACTTTTTGGTTTGATCCGCTCTTCAACATTTGTATTAGAGTTTGGATATTCCAAATATCACTGAAGAGACATTATTTGTCGAAAATCGCATCTGGTGCATCAAAATAGTCGCACAAACTCTTTAGTGCGCAATAGACCATCTACTCCAAAGACATAAACGAGTGAAATTAGAATACATCATTGCAACAGTGTCTATAGAGAAAGAAGGAACCACACAAAGTGCCTTTGAAGAGCATCACTTCGTAACAACCGTTGGAGTAAGTATATTTAGATTTTCTGACCTTGGAAACATCTAAAGGAAGAAGGCAGAATATACTTGTGTTTACGGACCATTTCAATCGATTTGCACCAACAGTGCCCACAAGGATTCAAACAGATGGAACA